GTATCGTGAATTTTCCAGTCTCTCTTCATTGGCTTGATGTTAAGTTCCCTTTCAATAATTGTAGCTCTTAAGTTCCTTCCTTGTCTCCAAGTGAGCTTACAAGTGGCCTGGTCCTATGCAATCTAATCTTGATCAGATGTATGATGACTGTATATTGAATCACAGTAATAGAAAGACAGTTACAGTTCTTAACTTCTTTCTTGTCTCCAGCTGAGATTACAAGAATCTCAGAACATATGCTATCTAAAGCTTGATGAGATCAACTTTAACTATATATTGTTTCACAGTCGTAGAAAGAACTTTTACTAGACTCAGCTGCACAACTTTGTCTCTGGTCCTCCTCCATGAGAGTAAGTCATGACTTATGCATTCAATCACGTGGTGAATAGGAATAGAATAAGAATAAGAATAAGCAGTGAATAGATTACATTGCCTGTCTTAAATAATTCACTGACCCAGTTCCACTTGGGATCCTTTCTTCTTTTAATTATCCTATCAGAGGTTGACCTTGGGCAGCATAATGGATTATGTTCATTTCCACTTCCTTCCGGGCTCAATCCCCAATATGCTAATCGGGAAAGTGTCGGAAAGTGGGGAGCTTTTACTATTGGTCACCTCTCCTTGGTCGCCTCATCCTTCTCTGGGACTTGGCTAGACGAAGGGTCCTCTTGGGCGTGATCGATCTTTCAATGCGATCGACTAGATGCGGCGTAGTTAAGAACAAGGCAAGCATCGTCTTAAAAAGTCGTGTGCGCACGTACGCCTATTGCTTGTTGTCGCACGTGCGGGGTTTTGGGTTGCAGCGAAATTTAGGAAATGTAAGTACTCGATATTTTACGTGTATCTGATACTTTTTCAGAATCTACGTCATGGTGACAGTAAACAACAAAATAGTTTAACTGCACCGGAAAAACACGAGCACGTTTTTAGATAAGCAAGAATAGATAAGCTAAATATTCACTGGAGTTTTCCAGATATATTGACCATCTCGAATGTCCAGCGACACCCGTGGTCTCTGAGTTGTCAACGGCATCAATTTGTATCCTTCGAACCGGTCTTGGTAAAACAAACCGGAACGGTGAATACATTTTGTACATATTAATTATTATAAATTTGATATTTAAAATTCAAATAAATCATTATCTTATATAAGTAATGAAAGCTTAGTAAAAGCAGGACGAACAAGATCAATAGGCATTAGTAATTTTAATCAATCTCAAATCATGAACATGTTAAATAATAACAAGTTTGTTATTAAACATTTTATTATGTCTATATGTAAATTCTAACGAAATATCGCATAATTACATTATTAAAGTGACACATTGAATAATAATTTAAGCCAAATAAAACAATACAATGATAATTTATAGGATGTTCTATAAAATTGATAAAAAATTTATTAATTTTTTTTTTCATTTATTTTAAATATTATATTAATTTTATCTAAAAACATAAATGATAAAAGACTAATTACAAAAAGATATAATAATATAATAAACATTATATTAGACAAGTATAAAGATTGTTTTACGCATTTATGTACCACTACTTTTAAAAACTTATTTACAAATTTAGTGGATTTCTTCAGTGGAGTTCTCTTAAACATTTAAATAATTACTTTATATTATATTATTTGAGGTAACTAGTTAAAAATAAATATATTTAATTTTCAATTCATTTATTATTCAAACATTAGGAAAATTGATAATTCCTTTAATGCTTTTATTTTTAATTCAATGCTTTAATATTGATTAGTAACTTTTACTTCATTTAATTGTATTTTATTACATAAGATTTATCATAATCAATTATGATCATTTATATAATTAATTTTTTAATCTACCAGAAACAAGTTCTAAATTAAAAAAAAAAAGCTCTTAAGCATCCAATAGTACGAAAAATTGCGGAAAGTCATCACAAATCAACGGGCCAGATATTATTATGTCATGCTGCTCAAAGCGGACTGATCGTTTTACCAAAAAGTAAAAATGTTAATAGGATTAAAGAAAATTTTGATATTTTCAACTACTCGCTCACTGAAGATGAAATGGAGAAATTAAATAAGATGGACATGGAAGAAACTGACAGGAACTTTGATTTTCACAACATGTGGGTTAGTTTATTATAAATTTATTAAATTAAAAATATTTTTTTTATACCTTATGATTAAAATAATATTATTTTCATTATTTTTATATCTGTTATATTAATAGTATACCAATACAAATATAAATATATTATGACAGGAGATATTTAAAATTAATTTTTAAAAACAATATTCAAAGAAAAAATTTCAAGGTTATTAAATTAAACTTACTTTATTAAAGAAATGATTTGAATGAATTTACAAGTATCCACTATATCCATTTTCGAATAATATTCCTAAGGAATAAAAACAATTTACTCTAAATATATTATATATTAAATAAAGTTAGTTCAAATAAACAATATATATTTATATTCTTATTTTGTTCATTATATTTTTTATTTAAGAAACAAAAATGCAGTAAATAAAATTATGAGATATTATAGATTTACATTAAATAATTTATTGAATTTTTTTATGTTTTTATCGAATAATTTATTTAAATTATAAGTTTTTAATGTCGAAAACACTAAATAATTTCAATTTCATCAAATTGATTAATTCTATATAATTGCTTTATAAAATTATAGAATTATAATATTCAATATATAAATATAATAAATCTAATTAAATTAATTGGAAATACTAAAACTAAACAAATTAGATCTATACTATGATAATTGAAAATACTAAAACTAAACAAATTAAATATATACTATTATAATTGAAAATTATTAAACAATTAAAATTTTATATTGTTAAATTGTATTAATATATAAATTATTAATATATAAATATAAATAATATGAAAGATTAATGATAAAATAATAATATTAAAATGTAACAACCAATTACATTTTAAAACAAAAATAAGTTAAAAAGTAATGTAGTGAAGATGAAGCAAAAAATGAATACTTATTTTATTTGTATTAGTTTTATTTAATTTTTAACAATAAAAATGATAATATATATCTTTATAACTGAATAAATATTTAAACCAATCTTAAGAACGTAAAAAAAATTGAAATGTATATATAAAATTGGCTCATTAAATTAATCTAATAACTGTTATGCGCATATTGATAAGTACAATATCTAATTAATATATTATTAAAATAGTCGTAAATGATTGACATTATCAACAATTCAATAATGGAGAATTACCAATGAAGAGAGTATTAATCAATAAGATTAAATTTCGACAACTATACATAGTCTACAAATTATTTTTATGAGAAAATAAATATCTTTACTTCAAGATGTTATAAATAAGGCTTAAAAATAAAATATATTTATTGTATATTAAGAACAAAATAATACTATTAGAATTTTTTATTATTAATATTATCTACTTCTTAATAGATATGATGAATTTTGTAGTTTAATTTAATAATTGTACTTTTATCTTTATGTAATTAATAAATTATTTTGATTAAAGAATCATTAAATGTAAGAATAAATATGACTGTACATATATCTGTAAAAACAAAGCATAATATTTAATTTAAATTAATTTAATATTATTATTAATATTAAATTAATATTATGTTAATTTAATAAATTAATTTAATAACAAAGCATAATATTAATTTAAACTACATCTATTTCGAAAAACAACTTCTTATCCAGTACATAATTTTAGTATACTAACATTAATATATAACCGCGTAGTCACCTCAAATCAATATTAATTTCTTTACATTAAATTAATATGGCGTTCATTTTCTTTATTTAACATATCTGATATTCGCTAGATAAACTAACGGATCATTAAACGATGATTTAAAATTTATATGTACATATATAGGTTTCTTAGGATTAGTGATGTCACTGACAACTTATAGCCTTGAAAGAATTGCTACATAGTTGTTAATATGTAAATAAAAATTATCTTGATAATAAATCTTTTTAGTTATATAACAAAATTAATTCATTATGTAAATTTAACGGATTCATAAATTAAAATTTTTTTATTTCTTAAATTTATCCCGAAATTTTTATTTTATTATTATTTTATTTTATCTAGAATAATTTCATTATAATAAATATGTTAATAGATTTTCTGTTAAACATATAATTTATTATTATATATTATTATATAAATTATTTAATAATAATAATATTCTAAAGAGAGAATCCGTTGAACTATTTCAAACTTAAACTATAAAACAAAATTTAATTAAGTTGAATTTTTAAAGATATTTTCTATTTCAATGATTTGTACTGTCTGTAATTAGTTTTAAAAAATTCATTTTTATATTATGAATTAAATAAATTTTCAAATAAATAGGTAAAAAAAAAAAAAAAAATAAAGCTTGTAAATAAAAGAATAAATGGCTGGTTTATCGAGGCTAGAGAGTTGGTTAATTTTCACGGTCGATTATTATCACAAGTCTAAGGAAGCATAATTATTATTATGAGAATATCGCCATAAACATTTTTTCAATGTACATTTATTCAATGTCTTGCGTAATTATTTTTATCGTTGAAGAGATATATGAGAGCGCTGAAAAACAGGCAGCGCTAGTATTTAATACGTTGATGACCTCCTCCTCGAACCTTCGACGGAAGTAGGCATTTTTTCAATGTAACAATACATTTTTCGAAAAATATTTATACATAAATTTTCGATCCTCTCTGATTGACCATGAAATCATTCCTCTGAAGGTAAAAGCAACACATTTACTTAGTGGACTGTACACGTCACAACAATTCCTTATAACTTATTAAACTCGAAAAGAAAGAACATTTCCTTTCATTCTCCATCCGAAGAAGAACCTGTCTAATAAAAGAAGCTTCAACAATTGATATTCTTTTTTGAATTATTACTTATTATCGCAGTACGATTTTGGCATTTTATCTTTATTTTTTTAGTATTTTGATCTATGAAAATTTTCCTCTTACATATTGTTCTTTTGCAGTCCAATAATGAATACAGTTTTCAGACTTTTTAGTTTGGTCTTACTAGCAAGCCTTCCAAAAGGATATGCCATGGATAATTTGAAACTATCATCTGGTTATAACATTCCAAGCGTTGGTTTGGGTACATCTTCGGTATGTATATTTAACAAAAGTTAATAAATTGTTAAAACGTACTTCAGAATTATATATTTACTAGACTTTACTAGAATTAAACAATTTTTACTGATACTTATCAAACAATTTTAATTACACAATTATTAAAATAAGATTATTTAAAATTTAAAAAATAAGAAATATTTTTGGACTTTCAGTATAAAATATTTTTATTTTAATATAAATATAATAAACAATAATAGAATTAGATAAAATATACGATATTAATTTTAATGGTGAAGTAATGTTTTTATTAATAGAATGAATTATATTATATAGTATTTCTTGCTTATATTTTTATTTTTTAACTTTGTGATAAAAAATAAAAAATAACTAAAATATAGATTTTAAATAAAACTAGGACTTTATTATAAATAACAAAATATTTATTTACTAATTAAAATGATATCCATATTATAATGTATTAGAGAATAACAACAAACTAAATAAATCATTTATTATATCTTAACATTACATAATTAAAATCATTTATAAATTTTAATACACTTACAAAACAATAATAATTTGTTATAATTAAATAAATGTATTTTGCACTATAGATTAAGCCTTATGATCTAGAAAATGCAATAATTAACGCTCTGGAGAATGGATACAAACACATTGATACAGCTTTTACTTACCATAATGAGGAAGCTATCGGGAAAGTTTTAAAAAAATGGTTTGCAAAAGGCGGAGCACGAGAAAATCTATTTATTACATCTAAAGTATAAAACCTTAAAAATTATTCTTTTTTTAAATGGTGTAATTATTTAACACGAAGATATAAAATTTATATTAAATATTATTTAAAAGTAATTATTTTTTAGCTACCTAGTCAAGGTAATAGACCTGAAAGTGTAGAAAAGTATCTAAAACAATCATTGAAAGATTTGGGTTTAGATTATGTTGATATGTATTTAATTCATACGCCATTTGGTTTAAAAGAAGGAGTAAATAACTCACCTAAGGAAGTAAATGGAATAGAAATATTTGAAAACGTGAATCATAATGCTTTATGGAAGGTAACTATTATTCTGTATCAAAGCATGAAGTGAAAACATTAAAAAAAATTACTGTAATCAATTAATTAATAATATTCACTACGTATAGGAAATGGAGAAACAAGTAAAAAATGGATATGCTAAATCTATTGGTTTGAGTAATTTCAATCAATCACAAATTGACAATGTTTATAAGAATGCAGAAATTAAACCAAGTAATTTACAGGTAATAAAAATTTCACATATGTTATTCATAAAACATATTAAATTATTAATATTTATATAATATAATATTTAAAATGTAATGCAAAAATCAATATATTATTCTACAAAAATTATAGTATTATATATCAGTAAATGAACAATAAACATATCTCTATGTAATGTATTTATTATTATCGACAATATTAGTTCAAAGTAAAGAATGACAATTAAATAAATTAACATTTAATGAAAAATGAATATGTAAAAAAATTATCTTTTGATTAAATGTACCTATTTAATATATGTAATTTTATTATTGCCATTTTTCAGATACTATTATTAATAAAACAATTTGAAATGGAAATATAATTATGATTAAAATATTCCGTATATGTTTATGTACATAAAAATGTCAAAAATATATCTTTAAACTAATTATATTATTGATTATATTAATTAAAGTACTATTTACTCATTCTGATTATTATAGGCATTTATAAGTCAATTATGTAAAATGACTTTTCATTTTAACAAACGTTTTACAAAGCAATTTTTGTAATCATATTTATCACTATAATTACAGCAATGGCCAGTAGCTTTGCACGTAAATATATATTTCATATATTTGTGGCTTATAATAATTAAATGTGCTTTGAATGCAGGTGGAAATTCATGCGTACCTTCCACAAAAACAACTGCGGCAATTTTGCAAGAAGCACAACATCGTGGTAACAGCATATGCACCCCTAGGTTCTCATAACTCGAGAACTTATTTGCACAAAAGCACCGGGAAGGATTTACCAGCTCTCATTGATCTTCCGATTATTAAGGATTTAGCCCAGAAGTACAAGAAATCTCCAAGTCAGATATTACTTCGACATACTGTTCAGGACGATCTAGTTGTTATCCCAAAAAGTTCAAATTCCGATAGGCAGAAGTTAAATATCGATCTCTTCGACTTCAAATTAACAGCCGAGGACGTAAAGAAGATTGACAATTTAGACAAGGGCGAAAAAGGTCGAGTCTTTGACTTTTTAAAATTCTACAAGGGGTGAGACTTAAATATTACCTTTATAAGGATTTTATTTATTGTATTAAATACAATATTTCGTAATCACAATAAAAAACAATATATTTAAAAAATGTTAAAACGTTAAAGTTCAACATTTCATTCTTTAAAAATGATTAAACGAATAGTATTTTGTATGTAAAACTGAGCATGTCATTACATATATTTCTGACTATTCTTATTAACAAAAATATTATGTTTTAGCCTTGAAAACAATCCTCAGTATCCATTTGTTGAGCAATCGTAAGCAGATGTTATTTAATAAACAACATTAAGGATTTAAAAAGTCATCAGCATTAATTAAATTCTAGATTATTAAGCATGTTATTTAACAGTAAATTAATCATACCATCCTTTTTGTATTTTTATTATATTCTTATGAAATTGAAATTTTTAAAACTATAGATTATATTTATGATATGAAATATTCAAGTATGAATTTCCTTCTATGTAAAATTTATTACAAAATAAAGCAACATTTATCGCTAATTCGTATTTTTTCAAAAGTATTTTAATTAACATATTTTTATCTATTACACAAATAAAATTTATAATTGTTTAAGGTGTTAAAATATTTAATAAAAGATTTTGATTTTAAAGAATGAATAATTTCAATATGATTAGTTTTAATAAATCAGAATTAAATATAATCAAATAGGTAATTGGCGCATCAAATCACACATTATAGTATAGATAGCACGTACTAAGTATATAAATAAATAAGATACATAAAACTAATTTAGAATCAACAGGATTCAAGCATTATAATCTCTATGCAACTTTTGTACAGCATATTTTATACGGCATATAAAAATTATATCTTCCACTTATGTTTATAACACTACTTGTTTTGAAAAAAATTACTAATGCAATTGAAACAATTTCTCTTATAGATATTTGACATCTAGCAAATGGAATGAATAGAAAGCTTAACTTATAGTTTGAGATTAGATAGAATGAAGGAGTTAACAATTTTTCAATATAAGAATTCAAGTAGTGAATTGAAATTAATCAAAATCAGTTATTGATCATTAATCTATTGCAATACCGACAAAAACATTTATTCCTATCAATGTTAAACGATAAGACCGAACATATATAAATATCTAAGAAGAAAATCAATACCAAAAAAACAGACGCACCAATAAATAATACACTAATAAATCATTCAATAAATCAAGCAATAGACTCAAAGCAAACTAATTTTTTTCATAGGTTATCTCTTTCTCTTTCATTAATAATAAAACTAAATATTTTATTTTATATTTAATTTACCCACTGCTTCGATACTAATACCAAATATCACAAACATCTCTTGCCAAAGAAAAAAATATAATAAAATACTTATCATATTTTAAACCCAAAGGAGTTTCAATTGAAATTTTAATTTTTGTTTTTGTAAAAATACGATAATTGTATTGATACCATGTATTATTATAACAATACGTCTGTTTTATCCTATTACTACTATAATAATATATTTCCAAATTTTCATTTAAAATATTACTTATATTGAATTTTAAAAAATATTGAATTAATATAAAAGTGTATGTGATCAATATAGATAATTACAGTACAAATTTTATTTAAAATAAATTACAATTTATTATAATTAATGCTTCGGGAATCGACATTTGATATAATTAATAAACATAATATGTAAATGCAAATAAAATATGAGTAAATATATCAATAGTTTCAATAAAAAAATTTTAGTTACATCGTATTTTATGACACTATTTATAGAAATACTTATGATGTTAATAATAATATAAGTCTTTAGTTTGCTAATCTTTTATATATCGTGAACAAAATATGTACTTTTCTTGAAATAACATATTCTCCATATATCTTAAAAAATTCTGTACAACATTTTACGTTGAAAACGATGCTTTAATTCACCTCTACGTATCATTGTATAAATAACTTTATAAATAGCTCCTTCTGGATACTTTTGTTTAATAAAATCAGTGATAATATTCTGCTCTGAAACTTGAGTTCCAATTGCAAATCGTCTCTTTAATTGTCTTTCTATACGGGTTAGCATTTCGTGATCCTCATCTGTTGTAAAACCTTCTGCACCTGCATAAATTCAAAATTAAAATATATTAATTAACATATTTTTGTTATAAATTACATTAGAACTTATAAATATAATAAAATTATCTATATTTTTTCAATATTCAAGATCATATATTTTATTATTTTTGTAAATGATTAAGCATATATATACAAATTTAAATTAAACCGAATATTGCAACAAATATCACTAAAGAAAGTAATTTTACTATAAACATTCTAAATAGAATAAATATTTATTTTACAATACCTAAATAATTTAGTAAGCAACATGCAATGTATAATAATAATTAGCATTTATTAATATAATTAATTATTTTATTAATATAATTAATTAATATAATTACTTTTATGTAATAAAGAAAATTACTAATTCAATTTTTATTTAAATTATAATTTATAATTATGTATTACATAATTTTAATATAACAGTTTTTTAAAAATATTGTACTTATTTACTTTGATTAACAAATTTAAAAAATAATAAATGATAATGATTAATACTACAGGGTGAAAATTAATGTGTTCTTAAAGAAAATCAAATTCATATGAAAATAAAATATGCTATAAATAACGTGTATCTTTGCATTTCCTACAAACAATATTTTCTAATTGATTTTAGTTTTATCTGTTATAATATAATGGAATGTTATAAAGAATTTACAAACAGTAGGAGTATAACAAACAAAGTAAGATAATTTGTAGATAAATCTTTATACACTTAATTGTGATATTATTAATGCAGTTATATCAATTGTATTAACTATAAATATTTATTTTTATTAATTAAAACTACACTATATCTATCATATATATGAGTATATAAGTTACATATTATCTATATAAAATACAATTTTAATATAATATATTTCAATAATACTAAAATAAGATGTATTTGGCAAGTTACAGAATTATAAATAGAAAGTCACTAAATTGCAATGATAAAAATAAGAATAAAATTGTCACCTATCATATTTATCATTATCATTCACCATTACTTTCATCAAATTTTAATATTTATTATGAGAATCAAAAACATTTGTTTTATTTATAAATATAATGTGCTACATGTTTAATTTACAAGTGATTACCCATTGACTTTAACAAAATTTACTGTTGCTTTCATTGAACTATATTTTGAAATATACTGAACTTTTTTTTCTAAATATTTCTAAATATCAATAGTAATAATGTATTACGATATTTAATAATTTTTTTCATAAACTCATATTTTAGGAAAATATATATGATAAATAGTAATATTAAAAAAAATCGTTTTCAATTTTCTTACCAGCAAGAGAACCAGACTGAACAGCAGTCATTGTTGATACTTGAAACAATCTGAGTGCTTCATCGACGTTAGTTTCCGTTGCAAACGGTTGCAGCCTTATTTTTGCCAAAGATTCTGAAATTCGAATTATGGCTTCAAGCTGACGAACAGTAATCGGTATGGAGAGTTTTTTTTCACTGTCATTGTCAAGCTGATTTTTATTAGTGCGCATCATTACGTATCGATTTTTTAATTTTTCACCAGCTGCTATTGTCAAACGAGGTCCACAGTTTCTAAAATATTTTATGTACCCTATTATTTATTAAAACAAAAATTTTTAGCGGAAAATTTATATAATATACGTAACTCTTTGATTTTACTACACTATCAAGATTCATATTTATATATTTAGTCTTAAAACTACAAATATAGTTCCTAAAATTATAACGTAAATAAATTATCATCGTCCAAATGGTTGGTTGAACATTGGATATATTGCAATACGTTTCGCGTGTACCGAAATAAACAATAAAATGTAGCCTAATTGCACTTGTGGCAATAAAACAATACTTTCTAATTTCTAACACTTTTCATGTTTACATTGATTACAAAAAGGAAAATTGTATCTTTAAGTGCAATGTTTGATATATACCTATTCGATCTATACATATTTGGTAAGTAGCCATGATTTTATTGATTTAGACCTAGTTTTTTTGTTATTAACGGCATAATTTATGCTTATAATTTTATTATTATGTTTTTAGCTTATGTTAAGCTTATGTTAACCTTATGTTAAGCATATTGTTATTTAATACATATAATCTATCTTATCTTCAATAATTTAAACAAAAATATCATTTCAATTGTTCCACTAAAAAAATAATAGTAACTTACAATTTAAAATAATTCATTTTGATTAATTTTTTAATTAATGTAAACATGATGTTAATTGGCTAAAATATTCAATTATATTAATAAAATTAATTTTTTAATTTATAAGTAATTACTTTTCTACTCTAATACACAAAAAAATTTTACATTATAAAATCAAGTCCTTTCGAATAAGATATACATTTTAAATGAAAAATTTTTAATTGCACCTGATAAAAAATAATTCCATACTTACGTTCTACAATAATGAATGAATTTTTTAAGTAAAGCTACAGACAGCTCGCCCTCAATTACATTATCATCGGTGTGATTTGCGTTCATATGAAGACTAAGGACATGTTTTGCCAAAGTAATATCTCTGGCTTCCTGATGCTCATCTTTAACTATAAAGATCATGTCAAATCGCGACAAAATTGTTGGCATAAAATTTATATTGTCTTCGCCCTTAGTATCATCCCATCTACCGAAAATAGAGTTAGCAGCTGCTAAGACTGAACAACGGGTATTTAAAGTTGTTGTGATGCCAGCCTTGGCAATCGAGATTGTTTGCTGTTCCATCGCCTCGTGTATGGCTACTCGATCATCTTCTTTCATTTTATCGAATTCATCTATACAAACAACTCCACCATCAGCTAACACCATTGCACCACCCTCCATTATAAAATTTCGCTAAAAATGATAGAACAATATATTAAATTTTTTTTTTCGTAATTTAATTCTTTTTATATATATATATAAACATTTTTAGTATTATTGTATATTTATTTGTATAAAAATAAACATTAGTTTCATAAAACCAGTTATCCTAACAATATATAGATATAAATAAACTATATTTTTTAAAGTTTAGACTATTAAAGATATTATTATCTTCAATGATAATAATAAGATTTAATACTGTATAAATTTAAAAATATACAAAAGTATCTTTAAAAAAAAATAATTTACATACTGTTATAGGATCCCTCATTACTGAAGCAGTAAGACCTGCAGCCGAACTTCCTTTTCCTGATGTATACACTCCAACTGGAGCAACATTTTCAACAAATTTCAAAAGCTGTGATTTGGCTGTTCCTGGATCACCAAGCAACAATATATTTATGTCACCTCTCCTACACAATCCATCTGGCATTCTTTTTCTAGATCCACCAAAAAGCAAACAAGCAATTGCTTTTTTCATATCTGTTGCTCCAAAAATACTAGGTGCTATGCTTTTTGTTATTCTTTCATATACATCAGGATCTGCTGCTAAACGTCTAAACATCTCCTCTTCCTCAGAAGTTGCAGATGAACGACTTCCTAAAAAAATATATGTATATTTATTACAATTACGTTCTTAATAAAACTAATTTAAACAATTTTTAAAAAAACTTTTAGATAAGCAACAATAGATATACCCTTGCCACTATTTTGAACATCTACTGATATACCAACAACTCGAATATAAGATGAACGTATACCAACTAGAGACTTGTCCTTATTAGCAACTTTAGCACTAGATTTAACTACTTTTTTAATAGAAAGTATACCAAGAATCATAACTTGATTTCCTGGTACAACACGATCACATAAATAACGATCAACATAGAGTTGCACATGTCTTGGCATTTCACCCTGGGGTACTTGATCATAAAGTTCTTGTAGCTTTAATGTTTGAAAATCAACACATTGGCATTTGTCAGGCATAATAAAAAATGGATCTAATGGACACTTTGGTCTTCCAGGTTGCTCTCTATAATTTTAAAAAAGGTAATTTCAAGATATTTAACTATAATTATATAATTGTATAATTCAAATTATTTTCTTACGTTAAACATTGTCTAGGTAAAGGAAAGCCTTCTAAACCTGGTTTAATTGCAAGATTAGATATTACATTCCTACATGATCTACACTGAATAGACATTTTAACAGCTTTTGATCTAATTCCAGTTGCAGATACTATAATTCCTGATATTTTTATTAATTTGGAGACGGTATCAGGCTAAAATAAAAAAATGATTTACAATTTCTATATTTAAAATACAGTTAAATATTATCTTGCAATATTAAATAATAGATAACACATAAAAATACAATATTTAATATATTTTAAACTTACTTTCATCCCTCTCATTGAAATACAATTAGCATCCGATGAAAATAAAACCTGAATGTCTTCTAATTTTTCTTCTCCTTCAGGTCTTGGCTTTGTAATTTCGTCTGCAACTTCTTTTGCAGCTTCTTCAAATATTGGTAGAAATTCTGTTGGTTGTTTATTAATTTTTTCTGCCAAAGATTCATCATATGCAGTTAAATCTTCCAAATTAATCTCAATCCAATATTGTCTTAAATTATAATGTCGTTTTAAAATATCTCTGATGAAGACAGAAAAGAAATAGTCTCATTAACTTTATGGATCATCTACTTTTAAATAAAAATAAAGTTAAATACATTTAGATACTTACCGATATTTATAATTAAAGTTACCTTCGTGAAATTGTCTCAAAAATTCTTTAAATTTTTTCTTAAACTGTTGAAAATTAATGGTTTTACCATTTTGAGTATCTTCAGCGGAAAAATTATCGGAAAAAAATACTTCCGCATTATCGAAGCCTTCCATAATTATAAACACAAAGTAATATTTAAAATATCACAGATCAATTCTACTGAAAGAAGCAGTTACATGGGTTAAGTACGGTATCTGAACGGCGGGAAATGAAGGTTGTGTGACCTGCTGGTAAATTTCGTTTATCCTTAGCTTCTATTGGTTTAAAAATTATTTCAAGAAATAATCATTCACCAATCAACTAATCTAACAATCTAAAATTTCCTAGTTTTAAGTGTATTCAAATATATTACTTAAAACATTTTTATTATATATTTACCTGTATAATATTTATTTACATATGTAAAAATAGTTTTACGAATAATTCAAGTCATTAAAATATATTTTAACATAAATTGTAAATAAAAATCCGTTACATTATTTCGTGACTGTTGTATACATAACGGCGTACTTATTAAGTAAAGCATTTTCTAACCATTAATTTTCCGTTAAATTGTCTTTTACAAGTACAATTTTGTTTGATGATTAAGCTGCAAAAAAAATATTGTAATTATGCATATAAAATCAATGGTGCTTGAGGGTTTTAAATCCTATGGAAAGAGAATTGAAATTAATGGATTTGATCAAGAATTCAATGCTATTACTGGTTTAAATGGCAGCGGTAAATCTAATATTCTGGATGCGATATGTTTTGTACTTGGTATTTCAAATCTTGGTCAGGTAATTTTATTTTAATTTATGGCATTATATTACTTGTTTTTAGTAATATAATAATGTAGTAATAGTAATGTAAGCATAGCTGCTTATAACTACAATCGCTAATAAACAATCTTACTTTTCTGAGTAGTTTATAAATACTATAATACTTTTGGTTACTTATTTTTATTGATTTTTTGAACTCAATATTACAATTTGAGATTTATAATTTCTGTAAATATATGAATTTAAATTATTATTTGCACTTTGATACATCTCTTTATAATCAGAAGTAAAAATGTAATAGGTAAGAGCTAGTTCTCTACAAGAACTTGTTTATAAATCTGGTCAAGCTGGAATAAAAAAAGCTAGTGTTACAATTGTTTTCGATAATCGAAATCGTGAATCTTCACCCATGGGATATGAAGATTATGAAGAAATTACAGTAACAAGACAAGTTGTTATTGATGGAAAAAATAAATATATGATTAATGGTTCAAATGTACAGAATAAAAGAGTTCAAGACATGTTTTGTTCTGTACAACTTAATGTTAATAATCCTCACTTTTTAATTATGCAAGGTAGAATTACTAAAGTATTAAATATGAAGCCACCAGAAATTTTATCTATGATTGAAGAAGCTGCAGGAACAAAAATGTATGAAACAAAAAAAGCTACATCTTTAAAACTCATTGAAAAAAAAGATAGTAAGCTAAGTGAAATAAATGAGGTATATTGTTTGAAATAGTAATTAACTTTTAATTATTGAGTAATTATTATTTTCATAACTATTCAATTTTATCTTAGATTTTGAAAGATGAACTAGGACCTAAGATAGCAAAATTAAAAGAAGAACGTGCTCAATATATGGAATATCAGCGAATAACAAGAGAACTTGAACATTGTAAAAGAATTTATATTGCGTGGAAATACGTTAATGCTTTGCAAAATAGTGAAAGAGCTAATGAAGATGTTAATAATATTAAAGAAAATATTAAAAAAAAAGAAACAAATATTACAAATGGTGAAGAAAAAATGAAATATATGGAAGACAAAATTGTTGAAATTATCAATAAAAGAAATATTGTAAATTTATAATATTGTTCATTTATTTATGAGTTTTAAATAAAAATAATTAGTTTTTGTCAATTTTTTTTTAATAGGAACAAGATAATACCTTAGGAGAAATTGAACAAAATCTCAGAGAAGCAGAGAAAAAAGAACATAAATTAACAGCTGAAATTAATAGCAATAAAGAAAATATTAAAGCAGCACAAACAAGTATAAAACAATTAACAAGTAATATTTTTGACGAGGAAAATTTATTAGGAATTAAACAAAAGGAAATTGAGAAAGTGGGTGGATTATTTGAAAAATTGAAAGAGCAAGATCGTTTAGATTCAGATGCTCTTGTGATTGCTCAAGAAGCCTATCAGAAAATTAGTTCGGGTTTATTACAATGTGATGATGGTAGCAATGCAACTTTAGAACAACAATTTATAAATGTAAAACAAAATCTTAGTGAAGCACAAACTGAAATTAAACAATGTGAAATGACATTGGCTCACAATAAACAACAATTGAATAAGAAAAAAATTGATATGCAGAGTACCGAAACTGAGTACAAAAAAGATAATAAGAAATTAGAGGATATGCAGAAAGCTTTGAAAAATTTTGAAAATGAATTAAATAAATTAAATTATAAAGATGGATTTTTAGAATCATTGGAAGAACAAAAAACTTGCTTAAAAAAGGACATAAAAAAATTTAGTGATGAAGTAGATCATTTCGAATCAAGATATCCTCAATTAAGATTTTATTATAAGGATCCAGAACCAAATTTTAAAAGAAAATCAGTTATAGGTCTTGTATGTAAATCAATCATAGTTAAAGAACTAAAAGCAGCTTATGCTTTAGAAATTGCTGCTGGTGGAAAGGTATATACAGTTTATTAATTTTAATTTAAGGTATAAATAGTTTATAACATTAATTTTATAAAAGCAATAGATTTATATAACAAAATAAAACTTAATACAAACAAAAAATAAATAACTAATCTTAACTAAATTTCATTTTATAACAATATTTAAGTATTTGAAATAATAATTTACTTATTATAATTTTTTACATTTATAAAAGACTTGTTAAAAATTATTTCCTAATGCAAAATTTAAGAATTGTAAAATTGATTAGATTTTATAAATATTTTATACTTTTCATTAGTAAAAACACATATTTGTAAAATGAGAAATATTTAAATTGTTAATTTGATTTGAAAAAAATGTGCTAATATTCCTACAGAAAATATTTTATAATATTTAAATTCAATTTCTAAATTTTAATTTTGTTAAAAGGAATTTAATGTATTCCACAAATGTACTTAAATAATTTCAAAATTTAATGGTAGTTTTATTTCATGACATTTTATTAAACATATAAATTATTTTGAAGTTTCAGAAAAGTTCAATTAGTTTCATATTTAATTATTACATAGTATGTTAGTAATTTTCTATTTATTAGTTTTTAATTTTATATTAATTATATTATTTATACAATTTATACAATATATATAATTATATAATTCCTATAGCTCTATAATGTAATGGTTGATACTGAGTTAACTGGTAAAAAAATACTGAAAAGTGGTAATTTACAATCACGTGTTACTATTGTGCCTTTGAATAAGGTATCTGGGTATCCAATGGATCAACAAATTATTGATTTTGCTCAAAAATTAGTAGGCCCTGAAAATGTACAACCAGCCTTGTCACTTATTGACTTTCCAGAAGAAACAAGACCAGCCATGCAATGGATATTTGGAAATATTTTTATTTGTAAAGACATGAATGTTGCAAAACAAGTAGCCTACCATAATAATATAATGAAAAAGTGCATTACTTTACAAGGTGATGTATTTGATCCATCAGGTATTTTATCTGGTGGTGCACCTGCTAAAGCTGGTTCTATATTATTAAAATTAGATGAATTGAAAGAAGTACAGCTTACATTGAATAAAAAACAACAATCTCTCCAAGATATTCTTGCAAGAATTGAAAATATTAATCAAATTGCTGACAGATTCAACTCACTTAAACAACAATATAATATTAAACAGCATGAATTAGATATGGTAATGCAGCGACTACAGAAAACTACACATCATCAATTAAAACAAGAAGTATATATTACATCCTGTATAATATTTATGTTTATGTAATATTTAAAATTTTAAATAGAGAATAAATGATTGAAAATTTAACATTAATTTTAGAAAAAGCTTTTCTGTATTTCAATTAAACAAACATTTCTCTTTATTTTTATTTCAGGTAGAAAATCTAGAACTTTCAATTAACAAATTAAAAGAAAAAATGATCTTGGCTAAAGAATCAGAACAAATTAGTTTAAAACGTTCTAATGAAATAGAAATACAATTAAAAGATGCTGATAATATTCGAGAACGACAATTAAAAGAGGCTGAAAACAAATTAAAAAACCTAAAAAAGAAGGCTGAATCAAGCAGAAAAGAATGGCAAAAAAGAGAGCAAGAAGCTGAAACATTGAATCTAGAAATATTTGAACTAAAAAAAACAATTGAAAATGGAAAAGAACAACTGGAAAAAGCAAAGGGAAAACTTAATGAGCTGATAGAAAAAGAAAATACATTAAAAAATGATCTTAAAGTAGCAAATAAAATTGCTATAGAATTACAAAATAATTTAAAAGCTCGCAAAGAAGCTATACATCAACATAATATTGAAATACAAAAATTACAATGTGAAAAGGAAAATATTTTAAAACAAAAACAAGACATAGAATTAGAAATAAAAAAATTGAGCCACGAAGTTACTGCCATAAAAAATACCGCTAATGAATGCAAAAATAAAATTACAGAATATTTACGAAAACATGAATGGATTGAGCAGGAACAAAAATATTTTGGAGAAAAAGGTATATAACATTGATATACTTTATATAAGTCATAATTTTATTTTTAGAAGTTTATACATAGTAAAGTTTTTTGAATTTTAATTAATTTTATATAAATTTTAGGTAGTATGTACGATTTTGAAACTAACAATCCAGAAGAAATGGGTCAAAAAACACGTGAATTTGAAGGAATCCTTGCTAAGTTAAGTAGGACAGTAAATGCAAGAGCAATGCATCATTTAAATCAAGAAGAAGAACAACATACGGATTTATTAAAGAAGAAAAAAATTTTGGAAGGAGACAGAAAAAAAATATTGGAATCTATTAAAAAATTAGATGAAAAAAAGAAAAGTACACTATTAGAAGCTTGGGAACGTGTAAATAAAGATTTTGGTTCAATATTTAATACATTACTTCCTGGTGCTGATGCCAAATTAGAACCCCCGGAAAACCAAAGCGTCCTTGATGGATTAGAAGTTAAAATTGCACTTTGTGGAGTATGGAAAGAATCATTAGGTGAATTATCAGGAGGTCAAAGGTCTTTGGTAGCACTTTCATTAATTTTGGCTATGTTATTGTTTAAACCAGCACCATTATATATTTTGGATGAAGTTGATGCAGCATTAGATTTATCGCATACTGAAAATATTGGTGCTATGTTAAAACGTCATTTTAAAAGTTCTCAATTTATAGTTGTTTCATTGAAAAATGGTATGTTTAATAATGCTAATGTATTATTTAAAACACGTTTTGTTGATGGTATGTCAACTATAACTAGGACAGAAAGGCCAAGGTCAAAATAACCACGATTTTTAATTAATTGAATGTATATAACTATTTTAATGTTAAGACTAAAATATTTTTACATTAATATCAATACCTAAACAGCAAATTTTTCATAACATAAAGTTTAATAAAAAAATTAAAAAAATACATTTCTCAAATTTGAGCATTAAGAAGTTCCAACCAAACTATTCCGATAAAAAAAGAATGTTGTTTTATCTCTGGAATCGTCAAACGATCACTAGGTTTATATTTTAGTATCTAAAATATTTGTAACATTAAAAAATCAGTTAAAATAAATAATTAGTTAGATGTAGAAAATATAACTACACATTTCTTACATTAAATAGAAGAGACTTTGCATGGTCTGATAAATTATTTGGAATGTTCACTAAGGAATGTGAATGAAATTGACCTGGATGTTTCATCTGAAAATCCTAGAAGATATTTAACATATATAATTACACTTATTTTTTTGTTTATAAATATCTTATAAAAAACATGAAATTATTTGTTTAAAAAAAAATTAAGGATTGAATTTAAAAATTAAAACTTACATATCCAGTTAATAATTCATATAAAAGAACTCCGAAACTCCAAACATCAGCCGATGTAGATATTGAGATGGGTGGTGTAAACATACATAATTCAGGTGAAGAATAGGGCTTTTTTAAGTTCAATAATTCAATATTTCTATGAGGTACAATATATGTCATGCTAACATTTCCATAGTCGTCTATCAAAATATTATCTGGTCGTAGATTTGATATGATAACATCTTGCTGATGAAGAGCCTCCAGTGTCAAAAGGATTTCTGCAGCCCAAATTTTTACATCTGATTCTGAAATTATCCACATTTGTTTTTCTATTTCTATAGAATAATTGTCTCCTTTTTTTAATTGAGATCGATTTTCAAAAATGTTAAAAGACATTTTATTCCAACTTTTTTCAGTAATAGGTATATTAACTAAACTTGCATTCGTTAACTGTATAACATTTCCGATTTTTAATGTTTTAATATTATGTTTTGATATATTTTTATTTTTTGTATATACTTGTTCACATTTATCATTATTAAACTCTTTACAGTTATCATTTACAAATAATCCAGTAAGATCTATTTTTTGTTTGCCAACATTCTCTTCTGTACACAAGATATTTTGTTCTGAATTATTTTTCCAATCAAAAATACCATTACTTATTTTATTATTTGCATGTTGTTTATTATATAAAAAACTTTCTGATTCATTCAGCTTGCCAGCAATAGAATTACTGCGCTTTAAAGTGGCATTAACAGATTCTAATAATTTTTGGGCATTTTCAACTAATTCTTTCGTATCTCCAGATACAATATCATTTTTTATAGGTATTAAAGAATTCTTTTCTTTGTTAATAAATTGTGTTTCTGGGTGTTTCTCTTGAGTACATGCTAGCAAATTATTTTGAATTATTGCATTACAACTAAAAGATCTTGAATGCTTTCTTTTTTGAAAACTATATTTCCTTTCATCTGGTTTATAATTACTTTTAATAAAGTCCCACAGTTTTCCATTACTATAAAAAAATTAATAAAATTTATTATAAATAATAAATTGTTTTAAAAATATATAAAACATTCTTTAAAATTTTAAAATTAAAATTAAATTGTTAAACTCACCGCATATACTGTAAAATTAAAAAAACTGTAGAATCTGTTTGTACGCATGAATATAACTGAACCATGTAAGGTACTTTTCCTCGTAAAATATAGCTATTATTTTTTTGAGAACCATCTACTTTTTCTACAGTCTCAAATTAAAATGATTATTATTATTATTTGATAGTTACTGTTATTATTATAAATACAATTTAAAAGGTACAATCTGAGCATATAACTTAATATTTTTTATTTATAAAAAGCTTATCTTAATTTATATTATTCTTAGATTTAAGTTAAGATCCAATAGAATAATAAAGATCTATAATCATTACCTTTATAACTCTTTTAAATCCTTGCAGTATATCTTTAACTACCATCATTGACTCCTTAAGGTCAATAACTTTATAATTACGTAACTCTGTAACAGGTTTAAGTAATACTGAAATATTGCAATTTAAATGTCTGTTGTACAGTTTTTCTGCTCTGTGCAAGTACTTTGTTATTTTGTGTTGAATTTTTGTCTTTTTTCCTTGATCTACTTCAGTTTGAATTCCATTGATAAGATGTGAAATACCAAGTTTATACTGAGTAAAAGCTTCTTCGTATTCAGCAATTGCTTCATGACGAAAAGCAGCACTCATGTGTGCAGCTGCAATTAAAATATACTGTGCATCTTTTTCAATAGTATGTGTTAAATCAGAGCCATCATGAATTATTACAGAAAAATTATTAATCCCATTTTTTAAATCATTTTCTTTACAAATCAATGTCGATGATTCATCAGCAATATCACTTAAATTATTTTTGGTATTATTAATATTACAACTTATTTTATTTTGTTCATATTTATTTGTAATTACTGTTGATTTTCTATTAATTGATTTACTGTTTATGTTATTTGCTTGAATATCAATTTTATTTTTAACTACAATTGGTATCATCTTTTTAGTACACACAAATTTAGGAAGATCTGTTGTAGAAGAAAATGTGTTTTCTATAGTATCATAATTTGTGGTTTTATCATCTTCTGAAGTGTCCGAACTTAAAGAATAGGAACAATCAACAGACTGTTTATTTAAACGATCATTTTCAAAAAATTTGACAAAAACATCACTAGTATATAATGCATTATAACGTCCAATGAATTCTAAAAGCTTTAAAGCACACTCTTTTCTTTCTTCAATTACTTCAGTTTCAAATCTTCCAAAAAACTTTGGCTTGGGGAAAAGTGGAAAAGGTTCCTTAATTTGCAAAGTTGAATGCAATACTTGTAAAGTGCTATGAAGCTTTTTAAATTCACTGTAACGTTTCCAAATGGAGACTTTAGAAATAATATCAGGCGATCTCTTTAAAAACATCTGAAACATTAAAATTAATTATGACAATTGTTTACTAAAACATGTATTTTTATCATAGAAAATAGTATCTGTATATAAATATAAATATATACCAGTGAAGTAACTTTATAAATAGTGAAATCTTTTGTATGACGGCTTGTTTCTGATATAACAAATCGTCTAATCCACTTTTCTTTTGGCGGCGCCATTTCAGATAAACGTTGGTTAGTTTACATTTTTACATAATTACAAATATTAGTTGCAAACTTTCATGCTCTGTATAAAGTATATCAGTTTTTTAACATATCTGCAAATATATGTATGTCCATTGTTTAAAAACTTAATATACAACAATTACATTTTCCTTACAAACGAACCGCATCCATGTTATAATACAGGTAACAGATTCATAATAGATTTGCGGAGGTGGTAATCAAATAAATAACTGAAAAATCAATATGGTATCAGATGGAAGAAGATATTTTGCATCATCGATTATTTTCATATATATTGCGTGCATATAAGTACTATATCTACAAAATCAAGTAATTATTTCATATTTTCATATCAGCTTAATATGGATAATATCAAGCTATATATACAATGCCAATTGTAATATATTAACATTCATCTAGTTATTCAAACTATATTCTCATCACGTGCGCGCAAATTGTTTCATTAATATTTTTATTTATATTATAATATGATTTGATATATAAATATAATTTTATACTTTACTGATAAGCGAGGCAAATTCATGAAGTACCTTTAAAAATAATTTTGACTGATAATATGCAAGGCTCAATATTAGGGTGCATTCTCACAAGGATAATTTTTTCGCGTTTTAATATTTTCATATAAATAAAGTAGTTGTATTAAAATAATTATTAACTTTGAATAATGTCGTGACTTATTATTTTAATTATTATAATATATTATATAAAAAGAAAATTATTATTAAAATATAATTTAAAGTGCGTGTACCATATAAACTAAGCTTAAAGATTTTGGCGGTTACTATATTAAGTTTAGTTACAATGGTGAATTTAAAATCTTAATTCTCATATATTTTTCTTTTATAACGGCAACATAATTTAATTTTTATATTATGACTTAGCTTAATAAACTATTTTAATTAATTTATCTTGTAAATTGATAAAAAGTAAATTATATAATAAAAGGAATTTAGATCATAAATCTGTTTTTTTAATCTCTTAGGTGTATCCATATTTAAGCATTATGGTGTTGATATAAGACGATTTTTTAATTTATATGTGTTTGCTAAATTGATGAATGGATAATATAGTAAATCTATTTTCAAAGAAATACCATAAGCGGTGATTATAAAAATGTTAATTTACGACGTTTTACACAAAGAAAAAGTTTATCAAGTAGTTTCGAGAAATTTGCGAAGTTTAGGGGTTAAGTACCGTATCAAGAAAAATGTTAAAACAGATAAACCGAATAGAGATAGTGCTTTAAAAAAAGTATTTAGAACTCCACTTTCTTATTTACCACTAGATGTTGTTAATTTATCATCAGGAGCAATTATTCATATTCCAGTATTTGTATGTCAAGCTGCAACATTTCTGTTACAAAATGTATATCAAGAAGGCTTATTCAGGAAAGCTGGCTCACAACTTAGACAAAAAGAAATTATTTCAAGACTTGATGGTGGAGGAAATTTAGGAGAAAAAAATAATGCAATAGATGTAGCTAATTGTTTGAAAACATTCTTGAGAAATTTACCAGAGCCTTTAATACCTTTTGTTTATCATGATCTATTTATAAGATGTAATATGCTTAAAATGAATAAGATAAATGCATTATTGTTAGCTTGTATTCTACTACCTCCTCACCATTTAAATACATTAGCATATCTTATGGAATTTTTAAAGACAGTTGCTTCTTACGAAAAGCAAAATAAAATGGGAATTGATAATTTAGCAAGAGTTATGGGACCAAATATTATGCCTTTACAAGAAACCACTATGCTTGCAGTTCAGTCTAGATTAGAAGCTCATCTAACAATTGTTAAGGTAATTTTTTGTATTTTAATGAATATTGAACAATTAAAGAATATTTATTAATTTCTTAAAGCTCTTAATTGAAAATGCTGAAAAAATTGGTATTTTACCTAATGATATCTCAGAATTTATTTCAATGGATAATGTTGGAAGTATTGATATTGAACTTAATCGATCTGATCCTTGGGCTTCATTTAAAAGTAAAAAGAAAAAACATCGTAGTGGAAGTCTTACAAGTATTCTATTTTTTAAATAATATGTATAAGGATATTTAAGTATATTTATTAATAAAATTAATTTTATATATTATTACAGGAATGCTAAGTGGTTTGAAAAAAATAGTTGGAAAAAATAATTCTCCAAATGAAGTGGATGGTTCAGAAAATCTTCTGGCTATTGAGACAGCTTGTCACTTGTATACACCATCTGTGAAAGCATCGAAAAAACGAAAAGTACAAGATAATACAGATTTATTAAATATTAAAAGACAGTATGTATATTTTTATTTATTATCAAGCATGTTTTGTTAACTTAATTTTTTTCGTTATATTTTAATAAAAATTTAAATGTCAATCAGTGTCAATAAAAATCAAGTAATCAGTTTGTTTTGTATATACCAGTTTGGTTTCAATACTTGTATATTATACTTTAACAATACTGCATGGATTGGAACCTTTTTTTTTTTAGATTATCTCTGAAAGTATTTTATCATTCTATTACAGACGAAATGTATTTGAAGTTATGCCTGCTTGTACTTCCTTTGGTCATACTTACCTATTTTCTTCCCCAGTTTCTAATAATCCAAAGTATGTTTTGCATGGTTTTATATTTAACATTTTTAATATTGATATAAAATTATCCTTTCAAAAATAAATAACTTTTTAATACATTTCAATAGTCCTTTAAAAGAAAAAAGTCCAAATCAAAAACTTGGAACACAAAAATACTATAAAATTTACTCAGATATGTAAGTTAATACATGTTTATTAATTTCAAAATCTATTTAAAATGAAATGAAATTTTTAAAAGTTTACAAATATTTTAGAAAAATTTGTGATAAAATTGAGAAACCAAAGAAATTGAGGCTCAGTTTGGATCGTTTTGTACCGAAACCTAAACAAAAAATGAATACCCAAAATATAGAAATATGTAAAACATCTTTTAGCCCTTGTATGGAAAGACGCTGGAGTTCGAGTAACAACTCATTTGATTCGAAAAAAAGAGGCAGAAGTAAAAGTATCGATTCACCTTTATCTTCACCACAAATTAAAATACGAAATTCAATTCAAGATAAAACTTTGGAAGAAGTTTTTATAGATGCTAATATTAATCTATCAGATGATTGTAGCGAACAAATTTCTCAAAAGAAATCAAGTTCTGAAAACAAAGTCAAATGTAAACGCTTTAGTTCCACAAGGAAATCTATGCATTCATATTCTCTAAGAAGATCATCATCAAATATATCAGTTAATTCTAAAACAGTGATTCATAATCCAGAAGAATATGTTCAAATACCTAAAAGTGAATATGAAGAAATTAAGCATAGAGTATCAGCAATAGAATCTCGCATTTCCCAAGAGTTCAAAAATATAACTAGTGAATCTGTTAATATGTTAACTGTAAATCCAATAACTATAGTACAAAGCCAATATGAAAAAACTTTGGAAGAGTCGAATATTGAAAATATTGCGAGTACAGATCAATTAGCTAAAAGGCTTAGCAAAGAATTAAAGATAAGAAAATCCACAGAGCATAAAATTATAAGGTCTCCAAGTGCAAGAAAAATTGGAAGTTTGAGAAGAAGATCTCAAGAAAAGCCAATAAGGTAAAATGAATGCATATTTTGCACTGTATTAATAAAATGTCAATTTGAAACATTTATATTTGAATTGTGATTTTAAAATACTTATAAATTGTTAATATATGTTTGTTATTAAAATGCAAATATTTATATTTAAAAAATGATTCACAATAGTATTTACATTTTTAATCACTTATTACATTTTTTGTTATTGTGAGATAAAATTATAAAATAGTTAATAGTAAACTGAATCATTATTTACAATTATAATTAAAATATTTATTTTTATCTTTGTATAAGAAATTTAAAAAATTCATCCATTTTATTAATTTTTTTTTGTTAATATTGATTTCAAAAATATTTTTTGCATATTACTCAAATAACGCATTCATAAAACAATAAAATATAAATTAAAACTTAATTTTTAATGGGAAATATCAAATATAGTAAATAGGCACAATATCTATCGTATTAATAGTCGCAAGAAAACTCCTATGCAATAACTATTTAATTAAGTACATAAATAAATTAAGTGATAACAAGTTGTTAAAAGCTGTGTCTTAAAAAAAAAATATTTTTGCCAACAGAAAAATACATCGTACCATTTCTTGGCACGCAGCCGATAAACTGGACGTTCGAAATTCCGTACTTAAGTCTGACCAGCGTTTGAACAATTATTGTCCTAAGCAGTGTAATTTAAAACGTAGTAAACCTTTAGTTAAGCGCGACTCGTACAAAAACATAGAGCAAATACCAAAACTTGAAACTCGACACAGCGCTCCATTCTGCAGTGAAGCGACGAACGCTCGACTTAATTATCTTCAGGAACAGCTCAATACCCTTATCAATCATACAGCTGAACATACGCGTGACTCCTTAAGTAACGAGGATTTTGGATTCCTTGACGATGATGTTTTCCAAAGTATCGAGCTCTCCCCTATGAGGTAATTTTAATTGAAAATGGGTCTTAAGAATATCATTTGTATGTTATTAGTGGAATTTCCGTACCAAATAATTATCGAATTTAAAACATAGTATTATTTATGTAACATTTATACAGCATTAAAAATGATTTTTTATTGAATAGTAGCCGTCAAAATGCTTTGAACCCAGTGGCGGTACGACGAGCTTCATCCTTTCATAGCTGCGAGTTCATTGACAATTCTCAGTACTTTAACAATAAAATCAAAGAACTTAGAAAGACGAACAGCCAACAGAATTTGACATTCAATTATTCTGAAAGTATAGATATCAGTAGAAAGATGTCAGAGTCTCGAAAAGAGAAAACAGTTTCATGGAAAGATGCCGACATATACTTCCAACAAGAGGCAAAGTTACTTACCCCAGTACCACAAACCGGTCGAGCTTCAGTAGCTAAATTACGAACACAGAATGCAGGGATGGTATTGGCGAAAGCGAAACTCTTTGATGATCCATCAAAGGAAAGCATAGATTTCAGCCGCCGTAAATCAGTTAGAGTGCAAATGACAGCGCCCACTTCTGAAAAAGAAGGCTTTCGAACACCACATGGTACGAACAAACATGGTTAAATTTTTAAATTATATATAGAAATATAGAATGAATGAATATAATGGATTGGTTAAATTTATGTATGGAAACAAATATAATCAACAAAACGCACCATTTTAAAATTTAAATAAATAATTAATAATTATATATAGCTTTCTAAATTTAAAAAATAGTTTATGCTATCAGAATTATAATTTATTTAGAATTTTTCGAAATTTTATCGACAAATGGTTTACTTTTGTTGCACATTTTATTAAAACAAATTTACAATTTGAAAAAATTAATTCCTACTTAAAACTACTGTATATTAAGTCTATTGAATTAAGCCTAAGAAACAATAATAATTTTGCAATTAGAAAAAATTAAGTGAAAAATAAAGATCCAAAATTAAAGATTGAATTAAAATATTTTAATAACAAAAATATATAGTAATATAGTTTAATTTTTTTTTTCAGCCATTATTTTATATCAGTAATTTCTCTTATATTCTTTAATTACCTTGAATTTAAATATATATAACATTCTTTGATATTGCTTCCATGAACAGAAACGATAATTATTATCGTGTTAACAATACTATACTAATTAATGTAAATCTAACATGAGTACATGATTCTATTTTTATTGATTATTAATGTAACTTAAATCTGTATAGGAACTAAAAAACACAACAACGAAATCATTGTTCGTAGAAAACACGATAAAAATCGTCGAACACCAAACACCTCGCCATTATTAAAAATAGAGGTAATTATTCATTGTAATAATCTTGGGCAATCAACACGCTTGAATAATTCACGTGTAAATAAAAAATAAGCTAACACTTACAATTTGCAGAAAGATAATCAATTGGTACAGAGCATAATAAGCAACGATGTGTACAAGATCAATGAAAATTCCATATGTAAAACACCACACATCAAAAAGCCCTTGAATGTAAAAACACCAAGGAGTGTGAAATCATTATCAGCAAGGAAATCAATATTAAATTCACGTCGAACTCCGATGAAAGCCGTATTACCTATCACGCCAAAAAGACAAAGTCCCAGAATTGTTCTAAAATCAACGCAATTAAATAGGCATATACATTGACACTAGAAAAACAAAACGTGCGTGTATTTTATATATATGATTGATGGAAACAATTAAATATTTTTTTATAATACAAGGAAAGCAATTTATAATGAAAAATCACTCAACATTTATATTTTGTGATTTTTATACAAAGAAATATACATGTATATTTTATTCAGTTCATGAACATTTATTTAAAAAATTTTTTATAATTATTTAAAGCATCATATCAGCCATATGAAATTTAGTATCAGATATTATCTAATTATCATTGTTCATTGTATACTTTTTAATAAATACAATGAAACATAAAATAGAAATATGCTATTATGAATTTTTATTCAATTAAATAAAATTAACGCTTTATTTATATTATGTAATCTATTTATTCAATATCAGTGTTCTTTTTTTATTGTAAACTAGTATTCTATTTCACATTCACTATCATTTTTACAAGTGGGACAAATATCTTCTATTCTGTAAATACATAAAAAAATTATTCTTGTAATAAGTAATTTGAAATTAAACTTATTTATAAAAAAAAATCTGTAAAAAACAGTGCTGCATTTAACATAGTTTTTGAACTAATTTGAAGTTTAAATGAAATAATTATTTTAAATAATTTAAATATTTGTATAGTCATATTAACACGTAACAATAGCAATTACAAGTTTACTTACTCGTGATCAAAGTATATTCCTCCGTTGACGACGCCAGAATGGTAAACGTGTCGGCGTCTTAGCCATATCTTATGTTCCGGATTTACAGACCTCATTACAACATCACAGCAGGAACGTGATACTGCACCCCGATATTCCATACGTCTGAATAGTGCATAGCGTTTATGTTTTAACTCACTGATACCACAACCAAGCCAACTTTCGACTTCTGATAGCATAAACTCACTTTCATCTTCTTCCATATTGTAAGCGAGATATCTATTTGTATTAAATTAATAAAGATTTGTTATACTTCGTCATAAACATTCAAAGTCTTATTTATTTTCATACAAATTAAATGTTGAAGTAATCAATTTCTCAATATTTCAATGAAGTACGTGATTTTTCGTACTTTTTCAATGAACTATCTACTTATCGAAGCATTAAATAATTATTTTTTTTACTATTGAAAGAAATATTTTTTGAAATTTATAGTATTAACATAAATATTGATGCATTGTTTAATATTAAAAACATTCTATTAAAATCGTAATCATAAGTGAGTAATACGTTTTAAAATTGTTGTGAAAATAAAATAAAATCTTCATTAATTTTATTGATTTTTCTATAATATATCAATATAATTAAAATAAATGATTAGCCTTTAATACTTAATAAAAAACTAGTTATTAAATTACTTTTTTAGTAGATTAACAATTACAATTTTATAAATATCTTTAAAAACAAATTTAATAATTTGTATATAAATATTTTTAATCATTAGAATTTTAAAAATATTAATTATAATGAATAGTTAACTTTTAATATTTGATTAAATTATTATTATTTCTTATATATAAATTAGTTTAGATATTTTAAAATTTAGTATATTTTTTTTGTAAAATATAGACATTTTTAAAAATTTTTATAAATTATGTTCAGTTTTTAATTTATATTATAAATTTGTATTAGAACTTATTTAAACTATCGACAACAATTTTATTTATTTTAAGCATCTATATACAATTAATTCTTGTAATTTAACTTGTTTCTTTTCTGATGAAATAATCATAAGTTCATATACAATAAAATTTTAATTTTTTCTTTCATCTGCTAATGAAGTTAAGACAAAAGAATTTATTATTGTTTACATTGTATGTCAATATATTGAATATTATACATACAATGTATATTGTAAATTAAAAATCAAGAATATTAATTAATAATTTTCAAAAATTAAAATTAATTTATTATTTGATAATTTATTTAGTAATAAAGAATCATATTTTTTCAATCAATAATAACTATTTATAAGATAATTTTCAATTTTAATGCAAATTAATTTTACAACATAAATAAATTTGAAAAATTTTCTAAAATTGAATAAATATATTATTACCAAATAATATTAAAATAATTAATATTATAAGTATAATTTACAATGCAGCGAAAAAATTCTGTTTCGTATATTCTTCTGGATTGAGTGATGCCCTCAAAAAATATGTAAAAACCATAGCTATCAAATAATTATCGGCTAGTCGGTAACATTTATCATTTTCGAAAAAATCTTCCAATTTTTCTATAAAAAATCAAATTTATAAAACAAATATTTCATTTAAAATTATTTTTACACTGTGCATATTCTTACCTAATAATTTAAAAAACTTTCTAACATTCCACCGTTTGACAGCAATAAGTTTATCTCTTTCCGTTTTATAAGACGATACCATGATATCTTGCTTATAAAGAAAATCCATATTCTTAAAAATAATTAAATATTAAAATTATTTTATGCGGTATTGAAATAATAAAAAAAATATCTTACTCATATGAAGGAAAAAAACAATTACACAAAAAGATTTGAAATTTTCAAATATTTTATTTATTATCGTTATAATTTTAATAAGTTGTTGTAACTTATTTAGTTTATTGAATATAGGCTTTATTGTTTTATGCACAATGACGAAAACTTGTTATTATTGAAATGTTATTGGATCTAGTTAAATAATAACAATTGCTATGATATCAATGTGTTTAAATATTATAAAACATATACAAAAATGAATTAACATGAATGTCATTTGTTGATAATGATATGAACTTATAGTACTAATAAATTGAGTTAAAGTATTATATACAAAAATTAAAATGAGAACTACTTACGTGAAAATATAAGCAATTTTTTACATATTTGAAACGTAAAAGTAATAAGCGAAGTGTACTATATTTCATACGTATAATTTAAAATATAAAATAAAAACAGCGGTATTAGAATGTTGTTTGCCAATATACTGAATATATAACAAAAGCTAATCGATGATTATTTTGTATTAATAATTTATTATCTTTGTATATCTTGAGAATAAATTATTGTTATAGGAGCTACAAAGGAAAAGTTCGAATATCTAGATAAATCTGCCTTATCCTATCGCGAATTCATAAATAAAACGGTGAAAAAATCACATCTCTACCAATCGCGTATGATCACAGTGTAACGCGCCTGGATGAAAAATTTATTCAAATTGCGAGATAAAACCGCGCTCCAAAAGTACTCAAAGAAACCTCTTTTATTATTAATATTTAAAAATTTACCAAAAAAAACTGCGAAATGATTAGTCCCTTGCTGAAAGTTGTTTGTAAAAGAAAATTGCGTAATTCGCCAATACATTATGAAATTGACAATAAATAAGATGTATAGCCGTACACGATCAGCTCAAAACTACATATATAATTACGTACACACCGAAGATGTCACGTAAACGTAACTCACGTAGCCAGACGACACGTATGTTCCGTTAGTTTCACTGATCGCCACAACGAGAGCAGCGCCTTTCGTCGCCTGCTGGTTGTGTCAAAAAACGAGTAAGCCTAGAGTAATACATTAAAAAATAAGGAAAAAAACGAATAGCAAGTACGTGAACGTTGAAGATTATTGCAGTGTAGTATAAGAAAAACAGGAGGGTAAATTTTTCGTGACGAGAAGTCCGTGGGGGGGTGGTTGGAAATAGTGCGAGGACGTCCTCGCACTTTTGAAGAATTGAAAAAGTCGAAGCAAAAGGCGGCCTCGGGATAGATCTTACAGAAAGAAGCCTAGAAACTGCTCTACGCACGAAAAGTGGATCTCAGGGCGAAGATGCGAGCTGTAGGTATCGTGCTGATTAGCGTCGCACTTACGTGCGCTGTTATCGGCAATGCCTACTATCAAAAAAAGCAGTTCTACCCATCGGTCGTCTACATAACCAAATCTAATCCCAGCATGGCTGTATGTCTCTCTTTTTTAAATATTTCACTTGTAGGGATCAACTTAGTAATTTTTTTAAACAGAATTGTCATTATCCATAATATTTTTTATAGCACAAAGAAATAATAGTTTCATTTGTAATTTTTGTATTTATCCGCATTATTTTGTTACCTTGTTATGTTTGCTTTTGTATTTTTATCTTGAAATTTTTTAAAATTTATAATAAATAATAATATTAGACAATAAAATTAAGAATAATTAATAGGTAAACAATATATTTATTTAAATTTTGATAAATATTTATATCTTAAAATTTTAAATGTACAATTTACAAAGTAAAAAGATATTTTGATCTAAACTTTTTAATTTGTAATGTTAATATCTTAATTCTACAATATTTATTATATTTATTAATATCATTTTAAGTGTTTATTAATATTAACTTTTTGAATTAGAACAATATGTTTCTATATAAAAAAATGTTTATGTAACGTTATCAATATTTAAAGTTTTAATATATTTAACACCATACTGAAATTGATTTTGAATATTAAATATTTATTAAATTTATCATAATAAACCATATAATATTAATTAATAAGTTTTAATTTTTAAATAAAATAATTCTTTTCAATAAACAAACTAATTAATCTATCAATATTCATATAAATGAATAATATTAAAAGTATGTTTATTTTCTTGATCTATGTTTAGGTTATTTATGTCCAAGGTCTTATACTTGTTTTAATGGCAAATACTTTTTTGAGAAAAATTTTCTTTGGAAATCTAAGAGCAGCAGAATTTGAAGTAAGATATAAATAATATCATTGGCTTAATCATTAATCTATTCAAATCTATGCAATAGTATGAATATAAATATTTTTGTTTATAGCACTTAATGGAAAAATTATGGTACGCAGTGACAGAAGCTTGTTTAGCATTTACTGTTTTTAGGGATGATTTTAGTCCAAAGTTTATTGCTCTGTTTACATTACTTTTATTTTTAAAATCATTTCATTGGTTGGCTGAAGATCGAATTGACTATGTAAGTATTTATATGTTATGTTCATACTTTGAATATAATTTTATAATATTCTATAAATAATATACAAATATAATAAGTATTAAATAATTATTCGTAGATGGAAAGAAGCCCAGTAATAACATGGCTGTTTCATGTCAGAGTAGGCACACTATTAGGAATTTTATTTTCTATAAATCTAGCCATGTTTAATTATGCATACACTTCAACAATTGCTAAAGGAGCATCTGTTCAACTTGTATTTGGCTTTGAGTATGCTTTACTGTTAACTGTTGTTTTAAATATAAATGTGAAATATATACTTCATACAATTGATTTACAAAGAGATAATCCTTGGGACAATAAACCTGTATTTTTGTTGTACACTGAATTAATCATTGGTTTGGTTAAGGTAACTAAAACAAATTATCAAATTTAAATAGAATATTATTATATAAGTCTAAAATAGTTACTGTTATGCATAGTACTGTATTATATCCATTTGAGTGGATAAAAACTGACTCAAATACTATATCAGTATCAAATAGATAAAATAGCATTGATAAAGATTGGATAAATACATATTCATGAAATGGGAAACAAAACAATAATAACAAAAAATATATGGCTTATGTATCATATTTGGTATATTGTTATCATCACTGTTATCTTTTATCACTCAGCAAATGTTTCTAATGTCTTTTTCAGCAGTAATTTCTTAAAATCGTAATCGAAAGACGAGAAATCAAATTTCATATACATGGTCATATTACTATAATTTTTCCTTGTCCTTCACAATACATGTTCCTTAATAGTATAGTTTTAATTTTGAACTTTTGAAAGTGATTATAAATATTAATAATTTTGTCCAACTTTTATTTTTATAATTACTTCCAATAATTGTTTATGTATAATAATTATAATCATAATGTAGCTACTTTTTTCTTTGATCTAGTATTACTTCGTGGCATAATTGTAACTTTTATAACAAACTTCTTATTTATTTAAGTATTTGCAACACCATTCTTAACGATGCTTAATTGTTATAAAGTAATTAAATATGCTTACACAAGTATTTTAGATTTTTTACAATTTTAATTTAACTTATTATTAAACATTTATTCAAATTTCAGGTTACTTTATACATCGCATTTGTTGCAATTATGGTTAAAATATATACCTTACCTTTATTTACCTTCAGACCTATGTATTATACAATGAGAAACTTTAAGAAAGCTTTTCATGACATTGTCATGTCTAGAAGAGCTATAAGAAATATGAATACGTTATATCCTAATGCAACACCTGAAGAATTAGCTGCTGCTGATAATGTTTGCATTATTTGCCGGTATTTATTTTTTAATTTAAATTCTTTGACAATATATGAAATAAATTATTAAATTTGTTATTAATTTTTAAAGAGAGGAAATGGTTGCCGCAAGCAAAAAATTACCATGTAATCATATATTTCACACTGCTTGTTTACGATCTTGGTTCCAACGTCAACAAACTTGTCCTACCTGTAGATTAAATATTTTAAGACCTACAATTATGCAAACAAGACAACAAAATCAAGCTCAACCACCTGCTGCACCTGCTCCACAGCCTATCCCTGCTCAAGGACCAAATCCACAACGTAAGTAAACTAATTCTTTCTATAAAAATAAACATATTTTTTTAAGTTTTAACACTTTGTGAACTGATGTTTTGTACTTAATGTAAAAATATTATGTAAAATTAAATATGTATAAGAGCTTTATCATTTTTCATATTTAATAAGAAAAAAATAATTGCATTTATTAAATAAAAATGTATATTTTTTAATATTCAAATACATAAAATATGGCAATGTTTTTTTTTGATATACATGTGTATATTTTTACAATTCCAGTAATCCTACACATACATATAATTTTATGTATAATTTTATAATTTCTATTTACTGTAAATATCACACAATATATTTTCAAATGCTGATAAAATTTTTTAAAAACGATACTACAATATAAAATAATAAGTAGTTATTATATACATATATATATATATATATATATATATATATATATATATATATGTATGTATTGTTTGGAACCAGTTATAAATTATTTCAGCTACTTTTAATTTTATACAATTTTGATTTCTAAAAATAACAGCAGGACCAGCTCCCTTTCAGCTTCCTGCTTTTTGGGCCAATTTCCCACCACCTCCTCCACCAACACCAACACCAGGAACACCTGGAGCATCTCAACAACCAGGTCCGAGCTCAACATCTTCAACTTCTCAGACACCCTCTTTTCAATCTCTTGGTCCTGGAAGTATTCCTATTTTTGCACCTTCCTTCCATCCAATCATTCCTTTACCACCTGTACCCATACCACCAACAAATTTGACTGCTCTGAGCGAGGAAGAATTAAGGATGATGGAGGGTAATTTACGTCAAGCTGTTGAGGCTAGAATAGAGACATTAAAAAGAGTTCAGTTACTATTAGATGCAGGGATTGCTATGATGAGTCAATACCAGACCGTCACAACTATTGCTAAGTAAGTACTTTTATGTAAAGTTAAGACTATAATTATTAGTAGTATATATTTTCAAAATGTATGTTTATGATTATTAATGTATAGTATATAGATATGATGCTTAAAACAAAACATTTCAAATTTTGCTTCAGCATTCCTTTATCAATGTCTACTACAAGTTTAAAAAATGAAAATTCAAGTTCAAAAATGTCGAATCCGATGACGAAAATAGGAGAAAATTCTCAAACCAGTACTTCACAAAATCATAAATCAAATTATTCTAATAAAATGAAAGCATCGACTTCAAAGACTGTTGCTGAAGCATCTACAGAAAGCATAGCAGAATCTTCAATCACAAGTACTAATGAAGCAGTGGCTACAACTTCGAGAGCCACTAGTGAGATATTGAGTGAACAAGAATTACTAAGGCGAAGAAGATTAGAAAAATGTGCACAAGGAGATCCTTCCATCGATTAAGTGGATACCAGATGTACTGATTTACTAATGTGTGCTTTTAAAAGTTGATGGATGATTACTTTTATTTAATCTATTATTGGTTTCATTATAAATGATGAATGTTTTTGAATAAGACTATTTTTATTGCTTGATATTTTAAAAAAATTATTCTTTCTACTAAACATTCAACAATAAAAATCATCTTTTTAAGAATACTTCTGAATAATTTTGAAACAATTATGAAATAATTCCAAATATGAGAAATAGTAATTATTCATAAAGTTAAAATTAAAAATATTAGTGTCCGCAAAACAGGTACTAGATGAGATTCTGGTAGCCTCTTACTGTGTGATATGTGCGAGACTACTGCGTGGAAAAGAATTGGATCAGTCGTTTGGCTTATCCAGTGCTTCGTTTTCTCCAGATCTAAATGAGAAATCGTGAGCTTTGACCAATGATCGTTATTGAAGACAATTTTTAAAGATTAAGATTCAGACTTTAAACTCAGGTTAAGGCCAAAACTTCCTCAAAATAACGTTACATTAATATCAATACAAGTTCATTTCAAAAAAGGAAATTATGTTCAATATATATTTTAAATATTTTTTGTATTCATTTATAAAAGATTTATTTATAAAATTATTTAATCAATTTTTATAAAAATTAAAACTCGCGAAGAATTTAAATTCTAAAATTATATAATTTTATGTGTTTCCTGATAAATAGTAAAAAGAACTGATGTAATAAATTGTACAATAGCTGATCTTTATCAAAATTCATCTTCTACAATAAAAATATTTGTCTATTTATAAATTTAGTTTTTAGTCATTTATAATTAAACCCTTTGAGAATGTGGTTGAAAAAAGCTTATCTAGTTTTAAGTAAAAAAAAAATAATTCATGTATTATATTTTGCTTGATTTAAACTTTTTATATTTCATTTTTCTCATATGTTATAGGGTATTACAGGTTTTGTTAATTGCTTTTAAATCTTATTGACAAAAAAATTACAAACTTTTGCTAAAAATCTTATAAAGTTGTTTAATATTATTTAGTTTGAGTGAGCGATTTTATTAATAAAATATGTTAGAATATGTATAGAAATAAGTTTGTTGTATAACTGAAGAAAAATGTAAATAAATAACAAATTTAATAAATTAATTATTTACAAGATATCTAATATATATTAATACACTGTTGTACACTATGTTTTATTGATTGTTTATAATTCTACAATAATATAACAAAAATGAGGGTATAATAGTACAATTTGTAATATGTGCATGTGTTCATAAATATAATCCGATAGCGAATTTTAAAAAAAATTAATTTTATTTAATTTTAAAACAAATACTGTACATTAAAAGTGACATGTTAATGTTGTAAATAATCTATTAGTGACTACAGTACTTATTTACATTTAAAATCAACATTTAACTCTGATCAATGGTTGAAAAAAAAAGTAATAATCGAGAATATTAATATATTAATATTAATAAGTAAAAAGAAAAAACTAATTGAGAAGGAACTCTAAATTATAAATTAAAATAATAAACGTGTTGTTTATGATTTAAGAAAGTATTTGGTCATTTAAAAGTGACGTCATGAAATAACATGATAATTCCAAACCAATGAGCAGTATACGAAAATTGAGCCAACCGCAAAACTCGTCCTTGTGAACTCGCGAATTGTTAAAATTGACTTCAAATAATCTTCCTTCGCCATTCGTTAATCTCAGTATCGCTCATTCAGAAGAATATAATAGCCTTAAAGAAATTTTTCTTTCTTTCCCTGAAAATGAAAACAAAGATTTGTCGGAATATTTTAAAATTGGCGGGCAATTCCGTGACAAAAAGCCAGTGAACCCCGTGGCGCGTTGATGCCACAAAGCGTCGTCGTCTCCGCCTGAAATGCAGATATAGGCTCACGTGCCCACAAACACATGTGTTTTCATGCGTACATGATAAGTAAATGCGCGCATGTGTGAAAATTTAACATGGCGGATTGTTGTGTTGTGGCTTTCCGTCTGAGAGTACCTGCGTGAAATTTGAGCGTAATTTGTGACGGTAAGAAATAAAGAAACGTGGAACGTGAGTGAAGACGAACTAGGTGTGTACAACTAGAGAAAAACTGAGCCAAGCTCTGCAGTTCGTGGCTGTTTTAGTCAACGTGCGAAGCAGAGGAACACGAGTAAAGAAATACGAAGAAATGTGTTGAAAAAATTTCGCTATGACCAGTGACATATCCTTATCTTTGCTAACTTGAGGGTATTGTTCATATGATAATATAACGCATAGTTGGCATAGATAGGTGCGCGCGCGCTAACATTTCTTGCTCTCTCTCTCTTTCTCTCAGCTTCCGTTGCTCTTACTGATCATATATACTGCAGTTATATCAACCAATTAATACACGCATACAGGCGTATCTTCGTCGGCTTCTCGTCGCTCCAATCCCCATCCGTCGACGACGGTGGCGGCGGCAGTGGTAGCGGTGGCGGCGGCAGTGGCGACGACTACAACTGCTTCAGAGCTAAATCTCGGTAACAGAGAGAGAGAGAGAGAAAAAGAGAGAGCGAGAGGGAGAGAGTGGAGCGAGCGGAGAAAAGACAGGAGTCGTGTATATACGGTCAAAGCAACTTCTATACACGTTGTAAGCGCGTGAGTGAAGAAAGAAGGAAAAGATCCTACAAGCAGTGATTTCAAAAAGGATCTTCGGTACCGGCTCTTACTTGGACAGGAGCTCACCGTCGCTTCCAAGGAATACATACGTGCGTGCTTGCATGCGTCGTGTCTATTTGGTACGTAAGGCACACCGCTCACGCTTCATGATTCAGATACGGTGCTGATACTACCGATGCTCCTGCTGGGCTCTGCTCTACTTTACTCTACTCTACTCTACTCTACTCTATTCTACTATACTCTATTCTACTATACTATACTCTACTCTACTCTACTCTACTCTTCTCTATTATACTCTACTCTGCTCTGCTCTGCTCTTCTTTGCTCTTCTCTGTTCTGCTCTGCTCTGCTTTGCTGTTGTTGCTGCTCTATTATCGTTGTTGGATTTCCCGCGCACTATCCAAAACGACAGAAGACGGAAATTTGACTTATTGTTGCCAGGCTTTTTACGACGAAACTTATGCAACTGTGAGAAGCGTAAACATTTTCATGCGCCAGAGACAAGAACGATAAACAAATATATACCCTCCGAGTTGGAAGCTTGAAATATTAAGAAGTTCGTGCGTACGTGCGTACTCTGTAATAACGCACGTACACACACTCGTAGCTGATTAAGAAAGAAAGGGCCGTTACGTTACTGTTATTACTGTTGCTGCTGTACTGCTACTGTACAATTTTGGATTTGGTTGTGTTGAATATTGCAAGAACTGATATATAAGATATACGTTACATACATACATTCACATTACATACGTACATTCATATTACATATATATATATATATATATATATATATATATATATATATATATATATATATATATATATATATTTATATTTATTTATTTATTTATTTATTTATATATATACATATACATATATACATATGTATTTGCATGCACGTATATGCATATATATACATATGTGCATATATATGTATTCAAACACACATGTATGTCGCGATATAAATACGAGATTCGTTGGTGTACAACAATAGCCTTGAATTACTTAGGCTTTACCATTTCATTAGACAAACCCTCTGTTGGTTTGTCCTACAACAGAGAAGAGACTCCTGTAAGAGGAAGGATATTACTTTATTCATTTACCAATGATAGAATAAAGTAACTTGAACAAATATGTGTTTTATAAAAATAATTTCAAACTATTATGCTGAAAGATAAGAAAAAGATTGTGGTTTTTGATATTTAAGACATGAACTTGTGATTGATAGTTTCATTTTGATTCACTAGTTATTTGACTGTATTTCTTTTCTTTCTTTTATTTTAAGTGATATTCAAAATTGTGAGAAGGAATGCTAGTTGATTAGTGATTATTTATTGTAATTTTATGTGGCCAAATTAGTTTTTCATCATGACAGACACACGCCGAAGAGTTAAATTATATGCATTGAATGCAGATAGACAATGGGATGATCGTGGAACTGGGCATGTATCTTCTTCTTACGTTGATAGACTTAAAGGAACTTCACTTTTAGTTAGAGCTGAGAGTGATGGAACTGTACTATTAGAAAGTAAAATACAACCAGACACTGCTTATCAAAAACAACAGGTAATAAAGATATTGAATTTATTTTTCATTTTTTATTACTTAGTAAAAATATCTAGTAAAACTTTTGTTAATAATTGCAAATATTTGTATTCAATATACAAGTTAATAATAAACTACATTAATTAGATGCAATAAACTTGTTATTCTTGTTATTACAAAATGTTTTTATATTTACTGTCTATATATTTATCTATGCATATATATGTATATCTGCAAGTTTCATTCTAATCCTATTAATAATAAACCTATTAAGAATTTCAATGTAATAAAATTAATTGGTGATAATATAAACACGTAAAAAATATTTGTTTCAAGTCAAAGTAAACCATTTTATAAATTTAAAATTAAATTACTTAGACTTGCATCATATAGTGTTTTGTACTGATACTTTTTAAACTAAATTATTGATATTTTATTTAATTCTGAATTTTAATTGTTAAATAGAATAATATAAATGGTATATAGTCCATATAAGCGAACAAAATATAAGAATAATGCAAAGATTTAATTTATTCGCTTGTATAAATTAATAATTCAATTTACGATAAGTCGATGAAGAAATTTATGGTATAAAATAAAAATAATACCATATTAAGTTGTTAATTAATTTATTTACTTAATTAATATTTATTTCACAGTAGAAAAATATAAATAGATAATGATCAAATGATTTAATTTGATCATATGTACATAGGTGCGCGCATATACATACATTTATTTAATAGTATATTTAATCATTTGTACTTTTTCTAATATACACTATATTAATATAGGTACTATATACGTATATATTACTAATTAAGAGCTCCAATAACTTTTACTGCAAATTATTTATATATTCTTTTTTTTTTAATTTGCTATTATAAAAATTATTTATAATAAAAATAATAATTATAACAAAATTGTTTGTAATTAATTTAAATATTCTTTATTTTATATTTTACGTATTTTGGTATCTAACCTATAAAAAAGACATTAAAATATGTATATTATATTATTCTTCTAATTAAGCACCATAAAACTAAAACTTTTAATGAAGTTTAAGATCAGATTAATTTTTAATATCAAAAATTTCTATTATATTTTAGGACACTTTGATTGTATGGTCAGAAAGTGATAACTATGATTTAGCTTTAAGTTTTCAAGAAAAAGCAGGATGTGATGAAATATGGGAAAAAATATGTCAAGTACAAGGAAAAGATCCTTCTGTTGAAATAACGCAAGATATTGTTGAAGAATCAGAAGATGAAAGATTTGATGATATGTCAGATTCTGCACCACCTATAGAATTACCACCTTGTGAACTTAGTCGCTTAGAGGATATAAATGAGTTAGTAAGTAATTGTCTTTCTTCTCCTATGAGAAAAGAAAAGTTAGCAATGGCTTTGGAATCTGAAGGATACATTAGAAAATTATTAAATCTATTTCATACTTGTGAAGATTTGGGAAATATGGAAGGATTACATCACTTATATGATATTTTCAAGAATATATTTCTTTTAAATAAAAATGCTCTATTTGAAGTCATGTTTAGCGACGATACAATTTTTGATGTCATTGGTTGTCTGGAATATGAACCTACATTAACTCAGCCAAAAAAACACAGACAATACCTTCAACAATTGGCAAAGTTCAAGCAAGCCATTCCAATAACAAATGCAGAGTTACTTGCCAAAATTCATCAGACCTATCGTGTGCAGTACATTCAGGATGTGGTCCTACCCACTCCGAGTGTGTTTGAAGACAATATGCTCAGTACATTAAGCAGTTTTATTTTTTTTAATAAAGTTGAAATAGTGACACTCATACAAGATGATGAAAAATTCCTCACTGAACTTTTCCGTCAATTAACAGAAGAAAACACACCAGATGGTAAAAGACGTGATCTTGTACTGTTTCTTAAAGAATACTGTAATTTCTCACAGAATCTTCAACCTCAGGGTAAAGAGGCATTTTATAAGACTTTGACAGCACTAGGTATTTTACCCGCACTAGAAATTACACTTGGTATCAACGACGCACAGACGAAAACCGCTAGTATAGATATTTTAAATTATATTGTTGAATACTCACCAAGTGTTATTAGAGATTACACATTACAGCAAATTAATAACACAGAACAGGATCAGATGCTTGTTAATGTAATTGTCACTCAGCTGATCAATGACAGTGATCGTGAGTTAGGTAAGTTTCTCTCTTTTTTATTACTTTACTATAATACAGTTGAAATTTTAATCAATTTTAAATAATGAAAGAATGTTTGATAAAAATTAATGTTTTATTAGAATTTTGCATTATATATTTTATTATTATTTAAATATTAATTAAATATTAAAAATGATTTTTAGTTTTGTGTTCTGTCGGTTTAAAAATACTATAAAGTCTATAGTGTTCTAAACTTTTCGCTTTACACAATATTTATAATAGAAAACATTATTTTTATAAATATCTTCTTAAGATAAACTCAATAAAATTAATATTTTATTTTTATTTTATTTATTATTTTAATTTTTGTTATCCTATATTTAAATGAAAATAATAAAATAAAAAATTAATTGAAATTAATAATTTCTATATTTACAATTTACATAACATACAAATTATTATGCATTATTTCTTTCAAATGCAAAATAATGAAATTAATTTTCATAGATTTATTAAAAAATTTTGTTACAACAAAAGTTTAAACATAATATAATAAAAATAATCTAATTTGATTATGGAATGGAATACGTTTATTAACGTTATAAAAGCTATAAAATTGTACAATTTGCTTTCTAAAATTATTTTATTAAATATAAGTTTTATCTTTTATTTGTATAAGATAAGTATAATATAGTTATAATATAAGTTGTCTAACATAAACTAGGAGGAGCCGTACAGCTCGCCGGAGTCCTACGCCTTCTACTTGATCCAGAAAACATGATGGCTTCTGTAAATAAGTCGGAAAAGGCGGACTTCTTGAACTACTTCTACAAGAATAGCATCGGTACTCTCATTGCACCCCTACTGGCCAACACGATTGGCGATAGACCTGCGTGTGAGGATCACAGAACGGTGCAGCTACTTGGATTAATACTCGAATTGCTCTCGTTTTGCGTCGAACACCACACGTATCACATAAAAAATTGCATTTTAAATAAGGACTTATTGAGGAAAATACTTGTATTGATGAAGTCCACGCACACGTTCCTTGTTCTCTGTGCTCTCAGGTTTATGCGCAAGATAATTGCACTTAAAGACGAATTTTATAATAGATATATTATTAAAGGAAATCTTTTTGCACCTGTATTCGATGCCTTCACTCGCAACAACGGACGCTATAATCTTTTAGACTCCGCCATCCTTGAAATGTTCGAGTTTATAAAATTGGTATATGGCAGCACAGCTTTTATTTTATTTATTTCATTATTCATTCTTATACGCATAATTAGTATTTGTTTTCTTTTTCAATTTGGAAATATTTTAAACATTTAATATTTTATTAATGCACATTAGCTATTAATAAAAAATAATTGTTTTAATTAATTCAATTCTCTTTTAACTAATAATTTTAAGTTCTGAATATTTTTCTTCTTTCTTTTAATATTTCTAAAAAAAAATGAATATTTGTGTAAAATAAAAATTCAATTTAAAATTTAATAATTAGGAGGACATCAAATCTTTGTGTTCGCATGTTGTGGAAAATTTCTCGAAAGAACTAGAAGCGATAGATTATGTACAAACGTTTAAAGCTTTAAAACTGAGGTATGAGCAGCATCAGGACAAACTGAAAGATCGTGATAGAGGAACCCTCGATAGGTAATATATATCGTCATTTGTTAATTCAAATAAAAATGAAAAAATTTACAGGCAAAAAGATAATTTTCAAAAGAAATAAATGAATAATGTATGTGCGTGTACGTACACGCATTATATATATCAATAATTGCATATATTTACATAAATATTTCAACATAATTATATTTAAATAATTTTACAGCTATTTTTTAATTTAATATAATTGCATCAAAAGCAAAATTGTTTTGAACGGAACATATTTTTAATAAGCTGCGTCTTACATAGAATTTTGTCTGAATTTATAATAATTAGCGTGCCGTCGATATTGAGAAACAGCCGGTATCGACGGGATCAACGGCAACTCGATGAGGAGGAGGAGATGTGGTTTAATGAGGAGGAGGATTTCGATGAAGGCGAAGCCGTAGTACCTGCAGCTGCAGCTGACCTTGTGCATCCCACCTCTGCTAAGAAACAACCAAGTTCAGCTAACTCACCAGGTTGTGGAATTGTTGATTCTCCTAAAGATGGCAGCAGTCCACCACATCAGCAACAGCATTCACCACCTCAACAACAGACGATTCTCAATAACAATACTGCCAATGCGGTTACGGTAGCGGCGGCGACGGCGGCGGCGGCAGCGGCAGCGGCAGTAGCAGCGGCGGGTCCTGTACTGTCAGCTACGACACAACAGTCACAAATAAATAGTGGTGGAAGTCCGACTTCGGTAAATGAGTTACCCGTAGTCAGCATCATCTCAGATACAATTAATCCTACTACGACCATAAGTGTCATTGACAAAACTGGATCTAATATTTTTAAGAAGGTATATTCACCTCTCTTGCAAGTCATTAACCGCTATTTGAGTCGAAATTTTCACCTTGTTGGCATGACTCATTGCTGTGAAATTTATATAATATTATGACTTTAGCATAAACTAAAGCATAAATCAGTTGAACATGATTAATGTTGAGTATTATTAATAATTCCATGTTATAATTATATAGTTACAATAATTATAGCCAAATTAAAGTTCCTTAATTAAAATGAATACTATTCCTTTGCAGTTTATATCATAAACTTATTCATTTGATTCAGATCCTTAGATAACAAGTCTGATCCATTTAACTCAAATATTTTGAATATAAAATCAAATGTTTAAAATTAGATTAAAGCGTTTATACATAAATAAAATTAAAAAATGTAAATATTTATAATTTTGTACAATTTATATTACTATTCATTAAATTCTACATATATATGTGTGCCCATATATTTATTTTAGGGATTGGTTGATTATGAAGGTGACTCAGATGAAGAAGATGAAGAAACAGAACTGAGTCCAACGCCTAAGCGACAGCGACTTTCATAGTAGGCAAGCTATCCGTCATTAGTAAGAGTGCTGTGACCAGAGGTGGGCAAAATACTGTATTTAAATATAATACAAGCTCTTTTATGTATTTAAATAAAAATTACAATACGTTACACGTATTAAAATAAATTTAATAAATATAAAAGTAAGAAAAGAAGCAAAAATTAAGTTACAATGGTCATTGTAGCAAATTTTAAATACAGTATTTAAATGCAAGTGTATTTAAAGTACATGACTATTTTAAATACAAATGTATTTGAAATACATTTGTTTTTTAAGCTTTTATCACGAAACTGAAAAAAATGTACATCAGATTTTTAATCCAATGTTGGAATTCAAACCACCTTTGAATCCATGTGCAGCTATCAACTATAATTATAATGATTGTTGACAATGTTCGAAAGTAATTACATATTATCGCGTTACATTGAAATTTTTTCAACAAAAATTTAGTTCTCGAGATAATTTTTATCGCGATCTCATTTACTATATTTTTGACCTTTGATAACATTATATTATTAAGCTTTGTATATTGGACCAAGAAAATATTACGGAGCACAATCGTACGAGTGAAGTCATGAATAACATTCCTTTGTTTTCGATGATTCTCCGTTGAGGAAATAACCTCATTTCCGCCTTCCATCTGCAGGGGCCTTAAGGTGCATGACAACGAACCTTTTTTTTCAGTTTTTATAAAATTTTTTAATTTAAACCTTTTTCCTTACATTATTGTTTCTTCACTATGTAATTTTTTTTAATTATAAAATTGAATAAAAATTCTAGTTTTTACTTTATCACAAAGAAATTATCTGTACTTTTCATTTTAAAGTTTTTATTTTAATATTTGTCTTAGATACATCGTATAAACCCCTGGAGTTGGAGGTTTAAGAATAATGTATAGCAGTTGCGTAATTTCAGATTACAAAAAATTAAAAAAAATTATTTATTGTTTTGATGATGTAACGTAATTTATCTTTTGTAATACTTAATTGATCATAAAATATGTATGCAAAATTATATTGAAATTTTATATAAAATTTCCATCATAGAAAGAATCCATTCCTTTATTCACTTAATTTCCCTAATTTTTTAAGGGTACATGAAAGTGATATTTTAATATAATTTCATTATTTAATTTTAGTCTTTTACAAGTTCCATTATTTTTAATAATTCAAATACGACATTTAAATTATCGATTTACGTAAATTTCAGTGACATTTTTTTATAAATATGCTTTATTTTAATATTTATAATTTATTATTAATTTGATTATATAAGAAACAAGTTAAGGCTTTGTATTTCATTAAATTTGCCGTACCAATCAATATGAAGTACGTGATAAATTGAGTTTTGACTATTTTTTCATGGTAGTTGTGAATGGTTGGGAATTGAAATCTAAATTAGATTAAGTAATGCACTACATTATTGGAGGGTAGTACAAATAGACGATGTCTATATTTCACCGATGATAAAGAATTTCGCTGTTTCAGAACCATTCAATTGGGTTCATTCATACAATCATTCAAATGGGTAATTGGAAGGACATGATTAGCACCAGTAGACTGTATTTTTTACTGTATGGTATCCCGCGTAGTATTCCATTGTAAAATATTAGTTGGCATGGGTATAAAATGTAAAAAAGTAAATTTTGTTCATTGTTTTACCCAACCAACTAGATATATGAGTTGTTAATTGAATTCTAAGTTTAATATTTTATATCAACAATATAATGGATCGTCCATTGGATTAAATTGACAGTCTTATAAGAAATTTCTCGGGGCACTGTGTTTCATGAGTTAGACTTTTTGTTATATTTAGCTCTACACTTTATCGAATGGATATTTTGCTTTATACTTATTAGATAGAACATTTTCATTATTTATGTCGAATTTCAACAGACTATGATATATTTGCTCTTGTATTAATTTAATTATTAATAATATTAAAGAAACAACAATATTGAAGTACAAAAATATGAAGAAACAGGTAAATTAAATTCGACTATAAAATAAGTGCTTTTCTGCATACAGAATATATTATTTTTTTATAAAGAAGTAATTTTTTACAATATTTGTCGACAACAAAGCCTTAATTTTATGTAGACAATGAACACGAATAAAAAATTATTAGTTAATTATATTTGCTTTACGAAAATTTTGTAGAATAGGCATTTTCGGTTATTTTATGATTAATTTCAGTAAAAAATTCATAGTGTACGTATCAAACTAAAAATCTAATAGCATTAAATTATTTAGTTCAAAGTTACTTACTTTCATATTCCTTTAATATTCCATGACTTTGTAGTAAATTTTATTCTGTAGAAATACCTTGCTTAACATTTCCAGATTAGTGCTGATCCGAAGATGGAAGGTATCTATTAACTCGTGCGATGTGTGGAAAAAAGGTGATGATAAAATGGTCAATTTATAATATTGTAGGAAGAAATAGACAGTACGTTTTAATGCATATATTTAATTATACACGTATAAATGCTAAAGTATATAAAATTGAAAAATTCTAGATAAATTATTAAATTTGTAAATAATTAAAATATTCTTATAATTATAAATTCATTTCATATATTTAAATATTTAAAGAGCCTTTACAGATTCATATCTTAAGCTATTATAATAATTTCACGAATGATATATTTAAATACGTTTTGAAATTAATATTCTCACTTTTTTTTTAATATTTATGTATGTGTTAATACTGGTATCTCTTTATGCATTAGTATTACGTTCATTAATTATAAATTTTAGGAATGTATTTTTTATTTAACTGATTGTATTTTAAAATAAATTGATTTTAATTTGATACAAACAGTACAAAAATAAAACTGAATTACTTGATATTATTTCAAGACATAATTATTTGATTATTTGACAATTTAATAAAACATTGCCACTAAAGTCAATAATTTTATTATTGACTTTTCAATAATTTTGTTATTTATCGAATTTAAATTATTTGTGTAAATACATATGCATGTATAATAATTCTGTAATATCATGATTGTTAGTATATAAATTATGTTTTAATTTTAATGTTTTAAAGTAGGTATTGATACTAAATATCCTATTTTTCTTTAAATTTACCGAATGTTACGAAGCTTTATATTTTCATACATTCATAATGAAATTCTTATTTACAGCTGTCTAATTTGGTAAATGTACTTATGAATAAGCGAAACCAAACTTTTATTTTAGAAGTGCCGCATCGTTAATAGCGAATGATTTTTGTGGTATGAATGTATATATTTATAAGTCACACTTTTATATAATGAACTGTTAAATGTTTTATTAAAATGGTATTTAATAATAAATTATTCATGTGCATAAAACAAATGTTACAAAAGTTAGTAAACTAACAATCTAAGATTCAATCATTGTTAACTTGGTATAGAGATGAGTCTGTAGTTAATAATTTTCGTATTTGGATATTTTCAATATAAATCATAAAGTTTATATTTTAAATAAAATTAATTTACTTAAATACATATATTTTTTGTTTATTTACATATTATATTTATTAATCGATTATATCGAATAGTTATTAATATAATATAATGAATACTATACAAATGTTAACTATTATTTTAAGATTTATTTTTTCGTTAAAAATTTAACTTATTTTGACATTATTTGTATTATTGAATTCGCAATGAAGTATAATTAATTTAAATATACATAAAATATATTTAAATGACCATTGTAATGTTTATTTATATCGTGTGTGGGTGGGTGTGTGTGTGTGTGTGTGAACAAGAAAATATGCCTAACAAAGTAATTAAATAGAATTTGTGTATGATAATCTGATTTAAATTCTAAATATGTATTTGTATGTTATATTAAACTACATTTTGCTTACCTCTGTGGTAAATAAAAATTCATTTTTAATAGGGCTACATCGTTGTGCTGAATGCGATGAATGCAAAGAAGAAAGAAGAATGATGAGTGTATTACGTAGTTCAAGACGTATAATTTAACTTGAATGTAGTTTATGAATGCTATTTTGGGTATATATACTGAATTCAATGTGTAATATTCTAATACGCGGAGTGTTTCAGACCTTATGTTTTTTTTACACTTATATCAGAATTATTAAATTAGATGCTTCTAGTTATTATATTTTGTATCTATTGTAAATAAAATATAATGTTCCTAGATTTTTAGGACTAAATATCTTTTATCAATATTCATTTGAATGTTTTATTGAATTAACATTCTGAATAACGAGTTGCAAAATTTTCAAAAAATACGCAATAAGAGAAAGGGGGTGTCTATTAAACTATAGAAAATAAAACTCCGAAGCATTTCGCGTGAATGGTAAGACGCCGAAGCTATGAAATTAAATTTTTCTTTTATTATTATATAGACGTAAAAATGAAATCGAGAAATTTTCATATAATTTATAATATAATATATAATAATATGCGTTTTACTTTATATATATAATATTAAGAATGTGATTTTTTTCTTCAATCACCTTTTATAAGAAAAGTAGCAACAAAGATAAAATATATATTGAAATAATTGTTTTGTGGTAGATGCAGTTTGAATGTGTCAAAAAATAAGAAAAAATAAATAATGTAAGTAAATGCCTATTGCAAGTAATTACAATAGTGAATAAATGAAATAGTATAGATACTTATATACTACGTACTTATATCATTTGAAAACGAGGTCCTGCGTATCTGCTAAGCACAAAAAAAGAGATTTGTTTTACAAATTTGTAAAGTATTATTTTACGTTTTAAAAATATAAGTACATGGAGAGTGTCAAGGTGGTGTCATCAAGTGTGGTGTATCAAGTCTATAACAAGATTACAATTAGTAAATATTTAAATTAATGACAGCTTTCAAAGGTGAGATACCATAGTACAGTAACAAAATTAGATTGAAATAATTAAAACGTAATATATTCAAAGTATCTATATTCCTATTCCTCAATAACATTATAATATTAAACTTGCTGAAAATGGGATATAGTGAATTCTTCTATAGCTTATTATTTTTTATTGTAAATTTTGGTTCATTGAATTAAGTCAGTAAAAATTGAAGGGAAATGTTATCAGTGTAAATAGAAAAACTAATGGGAGTTAAAAATATAGATCGTAGTAAAATTGCATGATATTGAGAATTACACATGCATGCATACACGTAACTCTTTCGCGATAACCTAGCAAAATAAAAATAGTATCGGTTATAAAGACAGAGCTGTTATTAATTTTTTTAATTTATATGCTAATAAGAGAATATTATAATTTTTATTGCATTTTATCACTTTATCAATATTATTTTTATTAATGCCAATAATAACCTTATATAATAAGAGGCATATGTCAAAAAAAGAATTTATTCGGAAAGTAAGTAAAAAGGAAAACGTGGTGTTCTGTCTGAATAATAATTTTACTTCTGTACGACTTCTGCCTTCAGTCTTGCAGCCAGTGCCTTGCGTACTTGAAGTATTGAGGCATCCATGGCTTGTTGGTGCACAATTAAATCTTGTTTTTTAATGTTAACAGCCGCTTCGGCCACGACATGGGCTGAATTCGGTCTTACTGGATCCATCCTAAACTTCTGATTACGCGCCTTATTTTTTAGAGCTGCGAGTTTATCGCGCTGTGCGTTCAGGTAAAGCTGCCTATTGTGTATGTCTTCTTTTGTATTATCTTTCTAAAATTACATATTCGTTTGACTTTTATCAATTTCAATAAATTTTACTTTTATTGCTATTTGAATGAGGACAATAGCATCGCTCAAATTTGATATATTTAACGTTTATACGGAATCCATCGATTTTAAATTTTCTGAAGAATGATTTAAAAAATGTTATATTATAAATGTTAGATTCATTTGTTTTCTTATATTTTAAATTAATTTTAGGATGCCAAACATTATGAAAAACTTTATTTAATAGCATATTTATCATATTTATCTTGTAAAATTAATTTTAATAGATGAGTTACTTTCGAAAAGCATATGAAACATAAGTTTTACAAAACAGGTTTTGACGAATTACTAAAACTGCTTTAATGCAACAAAATGAATCATTTAATCAGTAGGGCTTACCTGCTTCACGTGTAACTCTTTGCGAAAATTTGTTGAAATGGTATCGATAATCGATGGAATACCAGCAACTACTGCATGCTGTTGTTCCGTTTTGGATTTGTCATAAATGTTTGATTCGGCATTTAATTTTGCCTTCTGTTTATCTTCGAAATGAGATGTCCTTTTTGTTGACTCGTTCAATTCCTGATGAGCGTTTTTTTTAGTGTGCCCAATTGCGTAATGTTCCTGTTTCAGTAGAGATACACTTTCATTTTCCTTCGCGTTTACATTGACAGCATCTAAGATATTTTCGTCACTGATTTCATAACTGTCGAATAATCATTTAGAAATTTATAATTGTTAAGTAATGTTGAAACCATCAATGCGAAAAGATTATTTTATTTATTATCTTGCCAGAATAGCAATAGTAAGCTACTTCGAAATAAATATATTGCAATTAATCACTGATATAACTCATGTATTTAAATATAGATACCCAACAAACATATATTAGTAATAAGAACATTTTTATCCAATTTATTTTGTTTAATACGTATTGATATAAATACTTACTTTTATAATATAAACAACAATTGATTTATTGGTTAATAAATTTAAACAAGTATAACATAAAAAGAAAAAATGTTTGATATTCTGACAAGAGTTTATAAGAAAAAGTCAAACAATTTCATAAACAGGAATTTAGTATGCATAATCAATTATTATCGATAGTAATTATAATTTGATATATATACTTTTTTAATATTAAAAATTAAGTAATTAAATACTAGACTCAACTATTGTATAATATATAGTACATATTAGACGTTAAAAAATGTCAAATAATTTATATAACGAATACACTTATTAAAGAAAATTCATTTTACTTTACATTTTGGTTTGAAGAAGTTCTTCCATTGGTAGTTGATCATCGTTAAGTTTGTTTGATTCGTGAGACAAAGAAGCTGGTGTAAGACCAGATTTTTTTTCTATCATCTTCAAAGATTGAAGTTGCAGTTCTAAATTTTTTTGAGTCATCATTCGTCTAAATACTTCATATTCGTTTGCTGCCCAAATTTGCTCAAAGAGACCCTAGAAAAAACAATTTTTCATATTTAAAAAAATGTCACAAACCTATTTGAAGTCAATCACTTTTAATTTTTTTTATAATAAAACATTAATATGCAAACATTTTAAATTGAAAAAATTATATTTCAATATTTAATTATTTTTTACCTGCTGAAATTTTATTGATACTCGAGTACTTTTAATTAAGCTGCAAGCTTGTTCAAATTGTTCAAATATAATTCCCATATCTTCCATATAACAATCAAGTAGTAAATTAACAAAGTTTTTATAATCTTGATGTATTTCACGATACTCTTTACTATCCAAAGTTTCAGATTCAAATACTAGAACATAAATATTAGAATTTAATATAAAGATGAAATAATCAGAAAATGTTTTTGAAATATTTATGGATTTGTATTTAAACAAAATTAATAATGTTATCATAAAATATTTTATTAATTTGGTTTACTCAAAGATTTCTCTTCAATAAAATTTTGTATCGACGTTGACCAGAATGAACCTTGCAAAAATCCGACTAACGCATCAAAAACCCAAGTAGTTTCATCTTTTTCAGCCATTGTTTTGAAATTTTATTAAAAGAACTTATTATTCTGTTACAATGCAAAATATAAATAAGCGATTAATAAGTAAAATTTTAATGTTTTAAAATTAAGTAGAAATTGGAAAGCAACTTTGAAAGGTAGCCTTGGTAACAATGTACATAACATTAAATTTTATGTTATGAAAATTGAATTTTTCTTTTACTGATAAGAACAGAATTTGAAAACCATTTAATTATTACTTAGTTAAAATAAAATATAAATATATTTTTTATCTATTTATTAGTATCGAGGCATAATTCTATTTATTGAGTTTGTCTCAAAAAATAAAAAAATATGTTTATACATGGATTTGTAATATAATCAATATTTGTCATTTAGATTGTTAATTATTCATTATTAAAAATATTGCAAAAACATCACAACTAACATTAACTTTAACAACTTCTCTAAGAAAATTTAGTCTCTCGTATGTTCAATGAGGTTATACATTTTTATATTATAAGCCGCGCGCATGAACGAAAAATCTGTATCCTAGGTGTAGAAAATTTTATTCTCGGTTTGTAACACTGTATAAGAAAAAGTTGTTAATAAAGAAATTGACAGTTCAGTTATTAGATTTTTATAAGGTTAAACTTTGATGAATGATTTATTTTTAGGAATATTGTAGGAAGTAAGTAAAATAATCTAACGTCAAATATTTTGAGTATGGTCTCGGCTCCAGTTTTTAAAAATTATTTTTTAAATTAGTTGTTAATGTAAGGAAAAGTACAATAAAGGTTCATTATGACAAGTAAGAAAGGACAAACTTATCGAATCGAGGCCAAAATTGACAAGAACAGAGACGAGGGGCACTGGAAAAGAGTTCTAGATTTGGTGGATCAACTAAAAACACTTTGTCCCAACAATGGTTAGTTTGATTTTAAAATATTTTTTATAAGGAAAAATGTCTGAGAAATAAAGTTAACACAATCAGAGAAAGTATAATTAAATTATATAAGAAGGTGATAAATATCAATACTTCGTTAATTATTTTGAAGATCTTCTAAAATTAATTATATATTTGTATTTTTTTATAGAAAGACTATCAAATTTTCTAACTGGTGAAGCTAGATTGGAGATATTCTTAGAGCAAACTCCTCCTGTAGATGCTAATAATATGAAAGCAAAAACTGGGTTGATAGAAGCAAAGCGGTTTCTTTTACTAGCTGCTGATGAGGACAAACAGGTATTTTGTTAATGTATGAGCCGTATTTTATATAATTGAAAGTTTGTTAATATTATAACTAATATTTTAGTTACAAACTGCTCTGGATGCACATCTTCTGCTTGGTAAATTATGTTATGCCATGGGAATGTACAGTCAATCACTGTTTTATTATCAAGAAGCAGAATTGCATTCTCTTACAGAAACACAATTGGGTAGTCGTAATTTATGTATTGTGGCAGAGTCTTTTGCAATAAAAGGCTTATGTCTTGAGAAACTTCCACCTACCTCAAAATCTAAGTATAAAATCGCTGAAATGCAGAGTCAGATAATCAAATGTTTTGAAGTTGCTGCAAATATAGCATTAGTTTATCTACAGGAGCAAGATAAAATATTCATACAGCATCAAAATGGTAAATTATTAAATAACAATAATATTAATATTAACAATATTAAGTTTTCAATGATTAAACAAAGTAAAATTTATTTTTAAATTGAAATTTTATTTTTTAACACACTGTAGACAAGATCAAATTATGAGTTTTATTTAGTAATTAATAAGCAAAGAATAAAAGTTTTTAATTTTAAATTTCAATGGAATTAAAGAATAATTTTTAAGTTTATTAAGAATAAATTTGTTGATTTTTTTACTCTAGGATCATCATCTCCTCAGTCTACCATACATACTCCAAAACATATGGGACCTATTTTAGAAACTGCCATACAAAGAGCACCTTTAATATATTTACAAGCTGGAAACATTCAAGCTGCTATAGATTATTACAGGTAACCAAAATTAAATAAAAGTATTCCATATTTTAATTAATTAAAATTATTTTAGAGAAATTTTAAGTGCTCTTGAAACCACAGCAACAAAAGGTTTAAGATTATTGTTGACTCGGCAATTAGGAGAAATTTTATTACGAGGCATGAAGGGAATTAATTATAAGGCTCCAGAATTACTGGGTAGCTGTGAAACAAAATTTGAATTATTTTTGTTAATACTTTTTATTTAAATTTGTTGAGATAGTTTTTAATAAATTATTTTAGAGGCAAATATAGGAAATCAAAAGGGCATTACTGCAATGGAATCTCCATGGAAACCCAAAAGATACAATGGAATGAATATATTTGTTCCAAAAAATGAATATGAAGAAATGATTTTATTATTATTAATTAGTGAAGCAATGGCAGCGAGAGATGCTGTCCTTAGTCAATCTCCAGAATTTAAAGAGGAAAGAGTTCGTACATTTGAAAATGCTACAGCTGTATACGATTTACTTACTGTTGTTGTTGTTAGGTGGAGTCAAGTAGAACTTCTACATGAGGTAATTTGTTTTATAAAAATTTGATAATATCAGTTTAATTTTAATTCTACAGCATATATTCTATACTAGTATTAATATTTTAGTCATTTGAGAGGGCAATGAAATTTTCACGTGGTGAAGTACATGTATGGATGCAGTATGCTCTCTGTTTAATTAGTTTAGAAAAATATGTACATGCACATTCTGTTTTACAAGTAGTTATAAAACTTGCACCTCAAAAAGTTATGCCATGTCTTTTAATAACTAGATTATGTTTTGAGCATTTGAACAAGGTAATTGCAACCTTAAATAATTATATAAAAAATGAACATTCATTTTAAAATTTTACATATTTAATTCAATATATTATTTAGGTAGCTGAAGGAATTGAATGGAGTCAAAAAGCATTGCAAAGAGAAATAGCTAATCCACAAGGTTTGCAATCACGATGTCATCTTTATATTGGGATTGGGAATAGTATAGTCTGTGCAAATACAATTGTTAAACAAGATAAAGTACAACATAGCTTAGTAGCTTTTGAGTCTTTTAGCAAGTATGATTATTAATGAATATATAATCTAATTTTTAAAATAATTTTATATTAAAAAAAATTATATAAGTTTACTCATACTTTGAATATTATCTAGGGCTCAACAATCTGATCCCAATGATCACTTGACCGAATATTATTTAGCTCGTGAACATGCTATGAATAGACAAATCTCAGAATCTATGACTCACGTAAAGGTTGCTCTAAATTTAAGAGCAGAACACATTCCATCTTTACATTTATTAGCATTGTTACTTACAACACAAAAGCAATATACAGAAGCATTACACTTACTTGATAGTATACTAGAAGAGTATCCAAACAATTTAAATATTTTATATGTAAAGGCAAATTTACAATTACATAGTGTTGGTGGTGAAGAAGCTTTAGTGACAATTAAACATATGCTTTTTTTATGGAAAAACTTATATGAAGATCAAACAAAGGCTGATATCAATGAACAACAAAGTGAAAAACGTAGTGAAACAAGAAGTGTTTTTCAAATACATGCTTCAGAATTATCAGATAAAGATTCCAGTATGCATAATAAATGTTTCTTATTTTAATGAAGCTTATTCACCTAATATTATATATTTATAAAATTATAATATAACATTAAAATTAAAATCGAAATATATTGTTATAAAATTCTAGGTTCAGTTCATGCTCATTCTCTTGCTGCTTCAAGAATTGAACAAGCTTTATCTGAGGTTGCATCTTCTCGTAATTCCTTTGTTCCTAAACCTGGACCACAACGTGTTTGGTTGTTACAGGTACAAGTATGGTTACTGTTAGCCGAAGTTTTCCTAGTCTTGAACCATCCTAAAGAATCAGCATTGTCTATACAAGAAGCATTAAATATAGTTCCACTTAGTCATCATATTTTGTATACGGTAAGAAATAAAACTTGCTTTAATATGAATAATTATATTAAGTATATTACTAAAACATTTTGATTATAGCAAGGATTATTACACGAATATAAGCTGGAATATGAAGAAGCAAAACAATGTTATCAAAATGCAATTGCAATACACCCTTCACATGTAAAAAGTCTTCAAAATTTAGTAAGACATAATTTTGATAATTAATAAATTGTTGATTACAATTATTAACTTAAAAATAGTCTATAAAAAAATTGTATTTACAATTATTTTTTATTAACTATTTTTGTCTGAGAAAATGTAAATATTTTAATTAATATATTTGATTTTAATTTTAATAGGGTTTAGTGTATCATTATCTTGGTAGTCAAGGATTAGCTGAGAAAACTTTACGAGATGCTGCAAAAATTGATCCAATGTCTTATAAGACTTGGTAACTTAAATTTATTATTTAAAATAAATTTATTTATATAAAATCTAATTTTTTTAATTTTTCAATAAAAGGTATAATTTGGGAATAGTTTTAGAATCATTAGGAGAATATGAAGCAGCTAGCGATTGTATGGAAACAGCTTTAGAAGTTGAAACCTGCTATCCCATTCTTCCAATTTCATCAATACCACTCACATTTGAATAAAATTTATATACATTTATATTTATAATTCAATTAATCAAAAAAAAAATATATATATATAGAGTTAAAATTATTAATAATTAATGAGATTATATAGTTAAATTGTTGAAACATTTCTACATATTAATGTAAAATAATTTAGTATAGATGTTCATATTGTACAAATAACAAATAACCAAGATGTAATTAAAGTTTAATAAAAGTTATTGTTAACTAACAATTTCTTTTCATTAAAACTATCAAAATTTGATAAAGGATTTATTGTTTAGTTATAAAATATAGTACAATTAGATATAAAATTATCTATGAAGCTTATATTATACATATATCTATTTACATACTCGCACTATTTTTTAGAATTTATTAAAATTAGAGCTAAGATAGGTAAACAATTTCTAACATTTTGAATTACATAATGTAATAATTAAAAATAACCATAATTCTAAATGAAAATTGAATATAATTTTAATTCTTTATAATATTTAAACAATGCTTATTATAAAGTATTGAATTCAAATTTTTAATATTTAAACAGTAGGTTTATTTTTATTTCTTTTCGTTGGCCTTATTCTAATTTTATTTCTGTGAATATTAATTTTGTATTGTAAATTGTAAATATTTAGAAAAATCCATAACGTTTTGTCAATAAATTTTTTTATACAAACAGAATTGTACATCCAATTCAATACATAATACAGTTATATACTTAATGAAATTTCCAAGTGTACTCAAAATATCTACATGAATATTGATTATTTATGTAATCAATGAACTCTAAAATATTTAATAAAGTCTATATAAAATTAAAACATGTCAATAATTAATATTTTATAGTGTTATTAAGTAACAAATATCGTTTTATTAATTAATACAAGATCTGAGTTATCACTATATTTCTTACTTTTATTAATAAGATAATTTCATTTCATTATTTTTCTGTCTCATTACACTTTAAAACAAATTATATAATTTAAATGTTTAATAAGTTAATACATGGACAAAGCTTTCGAAAATTATTACAAATGGTTACCTTATGTTTAATATGACGCACATGCTTTTAATGTCTTCAAGTTTATGAAACAGTAATAATTTTCAAATTTTATGTTATCAAAAAAATTAAATTCTTTATATACTTAAAATTTTTATTTTAATATATTGTAACATTAACCTATTATTTATTTTAATAATATTATTATTAATATTTATTTATTAAAATCTTGATTTTGTTGTATTTTATAAATATAATATTACATGTTATCGTATTAGAAAATTTTAATATTTGTAAAATCATTTTTTATTGCATATTAATCAACTTTAACAGTTCACTTAGTTTTATTTATTAAAAATGAGTTATACATTATATTTTAAAATTGTTTCCAATAAAGATTAAAAATACACAAAATATTTTTGGTATATTTGAAAAAAAAATGAGAAATTTTTCGTTCAACTTTTTACTATATTTTTCTCTAGAAATATCGACTATTTTTGTATACGCAATAGTTATGAATAGTATAAAATATTCTCTATGTTTCTTACATTTATTTCATAATTGTGCATATTTCCATTCTCATATTTATCAGTTGCTATTTTTATAAACTCAATTAATATTAATCTTTTTAAAGGTAAATCATCCAATCTATATACAGCACATATACTCATTAATGTATAAAAACAAATTTAGTAGTGTTAAATTTTTTTTAAATTGTAGCATATTCAATAATTTCTAAAAAATTCAATAATGATATCTTGAATCATGTTAAACATACACATTTTCCTTAAGTTCAGATAGAGTATACTGGAAATAAATAATGAATCACTTTTTATTAAAAAAGTTGTTTAATATGGATTATTTTAATAAAAAAAGATACATTTCAAATTATTAATTACTTGTCAAAAATCGATATTTTTCAAAAAATTAAAATTAAAAATATTTTCAGATTAATTATTAAAGATGACTTATAAAATATGGGTACATAATAAACCGAAATTTATATGGAATAAAATTCAGCATATTTTGAACTAAAATAATAATCATTTCAATTGTTTATTCTTTGTAAAATATTAAAAAAAAAATTAAAACAAGACATTATACTACAATTATATTATATACACATTATATTACAATTTTATAATTTGATTTTATTACATAACTAGAAAATAAATTTGTAAAATAATTTCGACTTTATGTAATGTAAAACCATGGACTATAATTTATTACAATTAAAAATATTCAAAATTTATTCCATAAATTCAGTTTTACATGATTTTTTATGCATTTGATTGAATATTTTTATAAAAATATAAATTAATATTTACTTTTCTGAAAACTCCAGTGTACTCGTTCCTTACAAAGAATTAAATTTTTTCATAATTTATAATTTATAGTTAACAAGTCTTGATATATACAATTTAAATAAAATAAAGTTGATATCAACTCCAAGATTTTAATGGATGATAATGATAGTGAATTAACAATGCCTAATACAAAATAAATTTTAATGTTACAAAGTAATATTAAATCGAAACTGCTTCTATCAAATAGGAGAGTTTTTATATAGAAGAATATAATCAAACATTAATATCTTGGTCCATGCATGTATTACTATTTTATATAAATGCACACAACTGAAAAAACAAGAACATAACGTTTGATAATATTAACATTCTTGTTGTACATATGATTTTTCCCAGTCAAAATTAAGAAAAATTCAGGTTGATATTTATATAATTTACAAAACTGAAATTTTTAAAGAAATGTTAAATATATTAAAATTTTTCTAATTATAAAAAAAGTTACTTTAATGATTTTTTATTACGAACGTTGTATTCGTTTTTTTCGTTTTTTATGTCTACACAAAATACCTCTACCTACTTATAGTTAAATATTTTTCTTACGAAAAATGTATACACGTTAAAATACTTATAATTATATTGTTAATCAAATAGTAGGTTTTTATTTATTCCAGTCTAGAAAAATCTATGCTTCCTAAGGTAAAGCAAAATTTCTTCTTTCTTCCAAACTAAAATAAACAGAAAAGAATCATTATTAGTATTCAAGTACAACTGTAATAATTATATTCTTTTATTTAAAAAAAATTTAATTTTTAGATTATTTTTATGTAATAAATCTATGTAAAAAATGAGTTATAATAATAAAAAAAAGCTTATTAAGTTGTTAGTTGCACATTATTTATTAATTTAGAAATAAATATACAGAATTTTATCTTACACAACTCTATTCTTGGTAAAAAAATGCTAAGAAAATTTGGTCGTTACTTCTAAACCCTGGAAGATGAAAAACAACCAATTAGTTGTCCTATGAAAAATAGCATTAAGTATTATCAGGTTAGGATCATACCCAAATATTGTATAAATTACAAAAATGATCAATATTATTGTTTTTATTTTCAATCATTTTAGCATGTAAACAAATCACAATTAAAATTTTTTCGTAGTACAAAATTAAATCATGCCATAAAGTATTAAATGTTTTAATCATATTATCTATTATAAATATTAGAATGAATTAAACATTTATCCTAAGAATTGCTTATTTAGATATTCTAAAAAAAACTTATTTAACATTTTAGCATTAATAATATACTTCCAGTATCTAAATTATTGGTTTGTAAACTTACTACAGTACTTAAAATATTTGTCTTTTTATAATTTTCAGGAAATTATAAATATAAAAAAATAACGAATTTAATGCATTAAGAGAACTTAAAAATTTAACTAAATTGATTGATACATATATAGGAAAAATAGATTATAAAAATAGATATAAATATATGAGTAAATAAGAATCAATTTTTCAAAACAGATCTCGATAATGGGGTAAACAATACTGGGTTCTTAATTTAATATTCAAACGTATATAAGTATATATCATTTCTTAAAATAATTCATAGTCATTAAAGAATAAATATAATTTCTTCTTAATTATCTAAAATAATTTTAACAATGCAAATAATCAATAATTAAATATCTTATGTATTTTTACTTGCACAAACAATACAAATGTCAACTTATCACCTAAATCCACTATATTATTAATGTAATTATATCCATATAGACATTACCATTATTAATATTTTATGTGATACTTATATCACAGAGATGCAGAGAACTAATTTAATTACTAAATAACCTATAGATATAAGTAAACATAGCGAAAATCAGAATATTATGACACCAATTTACAACTTAGTGCTGCAAAAGAATATGTAACTAATATGATTTTTTTTTAATTTGAATTGAAAATTTGAAAATATAAGCTTTTAATTTTAATTCGTAAAAACTCACTGATCCTAAAATTTTTATAGTGAATTCAAGGGTTAAAACTGAACAAAAACAAAAGTTAAATTGTGTTTTGATAGTAGATTAGTTATTACAAATATAAATATAATTATTTAGTTTTTTCAAATAGTTATTATTTGAAATTTTCAGTCTCGTTTCTTTAATCACATAAAAAATTTTAAAAATTAAAATTACAAATACAATAATATGGAACTTACTGAAAAAAATAAAATGTTCACGACTGTGATGAATTAGTATTATTTGCTGCTATTAATGAATCAAAGATGTTTGCTTTGTTTTCGGTAAGTTCAAGGGGATCGTTACTGAGACCAGTGTTGCTCACATCTGTTACTACAGGTACAGGGGATGATGAAGCCCCTAAGAAAATATCGTCATCGAAGTCGAGTAAACTAGGCGTTGCATTATACGCCATTAATTCTCCTTTATTGCTAGATCCACATTGTTCTGCTAAAAATTATAAAATTTGTAAATTTTATTTATGCTTCAGAAGATTTACTGTAAATGATAAATTACTATTTTAGATTAATATACAATATAGCTATATATATATATATATATATATATACACATAAATTCAAATCAATAAATTAATAAACAGCTGTACAAAATGTCAGATTTGAAACCAGTAGAGAAAATATGGACTATAATTCTATATGTAATATGATATAAAAATATTAATTTTACTGAATTTTTATCATACTCCAAATAATTTTTAGCATTATTTAAAAAGTAATTTCATAAAACTTGTAAAATTTAATATTTAACTAAGATGAAATGGTATTCTAATTATCTCAAATTGCATATTTTAAAATTATCTTAAGTTTTAGTACATTTAGTTTTTAATGAACATAATTTTTTAAAAATGAATCGTTTATTATTTATAAAAATAATCAAATAATATATTATAAATAATCCTGATATATGAGTTGTCAAGATATAATTTATAATTAATTTATAGGAATTTATTTCATTATATTCATATAAGCATATGAAGATGTGTACATATTAAGTTTTAATTAACGATGTTTTGTTTTATAAAATAATATTTTATTTAAACATGCCAATATAATATTACAATTCATTTACCGAAAATGTAAAAATTTTAGCTTGTGTTTAAGTGTAGGTACAATAATTGTTTAATTCATTAAATTTAAACTATATTTTAATGTACATTTATTTATAAATTGTAATAAATAAATAAATGAATCAAAAACGTTTCCTTTTTAAATTCTAATTCATTGAATAAGAAAAATTTAATATTTAAAAGCAGATAATAAAAATACTACATAGATTCGATGGAAAAAGAGCACAGAGCTATTACTAAAATTGTTGACACAAATTTAATATATGAGAGAGAGAGAGAGAGAGAGAGAGCTTTCTTATTGACGCAAGATACAATTTGTGATATAAAAAAAAATCAATATAAATGCATGTAACTGAACTCATATTTCACAATATAATAAATTTTATATTGTAACATTTATTATATAACTATCTTTATTATATATATATATATATATAACTATTTTAATTTTTTTTTTTAAATTTATGAATAGAGAAAAATATCAAGCAAATATAACGAAATATTAGTTATTAAATTTTAAAAGATTACCATTCATATGATGGTCATCGTCACTTTCTTTTTCTTGATTAGAATGAGGATCTAAATCTGGATTTACAGGAATTCCAAAAGACATTGGATCTTCAGCTCCGAATAACTAATGATCAAAATTGTAATTAATAACACAATAATTCATATTATATTATTTAATTTTAAAAGTAACTGCTAAGTTATATTTATTTGGTATTATCTTAATATTTTTTAAGTAAATAATTAATACTATTTAGTTACCACAACACCAGAGAAAATATTTTCTAAATTTTACATTTTTCTATTGTATTATATATTTTCAGCAATTTACCTAAGGTAACTCAATATTGTACGTTCAAATTTTAATTACAATGAAAAAATAAAAAAAAATGTTAATTTTAAATATTTCTTTTAAAATGTTAAATTATTCTTTTTAAATTTTGTAGTTTCATACTACAAAAAACTTACATTTATATAAAGAAATTTAAACTTAATACGTTACTGTTAAAATTAATATTCATTTTTACAGTTTGAATATTTTTAATACTTAAGAAGTGTTTCTGTTAAAAAAAAAACTTAATGCTATTACTTGAGTTTTTATATGTTTAATAAAACACTCAAAAAGTCTAAAAACTTTCAACTGTACAAAAAGAAAGAATATTACATTTTTTTCAAAGTTACTCACTCCTAGAAGAGTATTAGCATCAATACTGTAGCCTTCTCCACGTAAGATTTCACGTAAATTGTCTAATTCAGATTGCATGGTATCGAGATGTGTATCAACTTCCTCCCTATATAAAAATCAAATAAAAGTTATTTACGAAAAACTATTGTTATTCTAATAATATCAATTGCATAATTTAAGTGTTATTCGACATTAATCTATTGAAAAATTTCAAAATAAAGTATATTAGTTGGTAAGGTTTAAGAGAAAATCTTTAAAATACTAAAGATATCTGGTCTTTCTAATGAAAGAATTACATATTAATTATTAACTTATACTAATATAAAAGATAAACTACTTAATTATAAAACTTAATAGTAACATTTCTTAAACATTTAAACTATTTGAATATTTGAAATGTAAGAATGCACTTTGTTTTTAATTAAAAACAAACACGATAACCATTAAATCGTTAGATGTGAAATCACTCAAGCAACATTAAAATATATTTTATTAATTAAAAAATATGAAGCACTAAATACAGCTTACATACATTTTAAAATCATTAATTGAAGCTCATAATAACAACTTAATTTATGTTTAATAGTACAACATCTTATTAACAGTCAAAAACAGATGATAATACAATGGCTATGCAAAAAAACTCAAATTATTTTACTGTTTTAGTTTTATAAATATTAAATTTATATTTTTTTTAATTTTAATAAATTGAGAATGATATATTCAAGCAAAACCAATTGATTCATTTGAGATTAATTAAATTAGAAGAAACTTTATTTTATTGGGCTGCTACATCATTAAATAATAAATTATTTCCGAAATTAATTAAGTAACCATAGAATAATAAAATAGATATTAATAAACTAATATTAAAGAATTAACGAAATAACGAAAATTTATATTATATTATATTATATCAATTTTTATCTAGGTATAACATATTAAATAGTTTAAAATAGAGATATGATTTCATCTCTATTAATGAGAGTTGCATAGATATTCAAATTAAACATATTATGGATTAAATCAGGTCAGGTATAATGAAATGATTATTTGGTTACATACATTTTAAAAATTAAAACAGGTGAAATTTTGAAAAATAATAAATAATGATTAAATCTCTTAACATTAGGTAAAAAAATTCATAAATGTAAATTTGACTTTTGATATAACTATATTTAAAAAAATACTGATATTGTTATAACATTTCGTGTGAAACATAACTTTAAATATTATTTCACTCAAAACTTCAGTTAAAACTGAAAACTGAAAACTGAAAACTTTCATATAAAAAATAAATATATTTTAAATTGTATGTTTCTATTATGTATAAAAGTTAATAGTTATTTCACTAATTTGTTAATACTAAATTTAGTTTAATATTTGGTTTAATTTAGGTTCAATATTAAAAATCATATCAATTTTCCTATATCATTAATAAACCAATGATTTTTATATATTTTATACAAGAAAGTTTTTAAATAAAATAAGAAATACGAAGACAAAGCCATTTTAATAGTAAATAAAAGTTGAATTTTTATGCTATATTTTTACATTTTGTATATTTTATAAAGTTAAAATGACAAGTTTTCTTTGTTATTAATATTATGCTTTTTAGTTATAATTATATATTACATGTAGGATATATATGTTGAAAAAATTTATGGAGCTTATATTACTGTTATATTTGTAGAACCCTTGAAAGGTATAACGCAATTGTAAGCAATTCAGATCAGAATATTTTAAATCTTGTAAACTTGTTTTGTTTTAAACTTACATTGATCCTAACCTGTAGTTACTTTCAGATATGCTACCTGGATTGACACGACTGAGAGACATGTGTTTAGCTTCAATCTGTTTCGAAGCTGATGGGGATTTAATTTGACTGATCGATGATTCACTCATAAAATCGATATTCCCGAACGTGCCATTGTCTAGATCGGAGGCTTCAGGACTATTTTCTTCGGCACATGGACTGCCATTGTTAGTACTGTTACCACTTAAACTACTAACGCTCGAAGGTATAGTATTGTCGTTGTTTTCACCTAACTCGGAATTGTAATCTTCATTAGTTATTCCTGGAACTATCAGTATGTTTTCTAATTTTATCAACGAGTCGTCTTTCGATTCTTCATTTTCATTTTCTTCGTAAGAGTTTAAGTCAAGGTCCAGCTCGACCTCCTGATTTTTCTTCATATTTGCAGCCATAGCCGCTAATTTGGAACTTCGGACAGTTGCCATTGGTACAGGCTTCAAGGAGGTTGGTTTACTGATTGTCGCTGTCGTTAATGATGTTGATGTTGTCACCACAGGAACTGCTTTAACTTTATTCAGCTGAACTTCTAACATAAGCGTTTCTTCCCTAAAATATAGATTATATCCCCTAGCTAGTCTTGATTTTATTCCTATCTTACAGTAAAGTTTTCTTATTTTGTATTAATGCAGTTATAAATTATGCATTGAAATTAATCATTTGTATTGCTAGTTAAAGCAACAATAGCAATGATAAAAAGAATCAAGTGAAGTTTTATATTTCAAAATATGTAAATTTTAATTAAAATTCTAAAATAAAATAAAATTATATCTTAATATTAATTATACTTTAATTAAATCAATTATTGTATAATTTAACTATAAAAAATGTTCTTAAAATTACTTGATTAAAAAATTTTTAAATATTTTATTTTTAGTATAATTAACATACTAAGATATTCATCACTTTCATTTAATTTGATAAAATTATTTTTTTTTTAAATATGTTTCATTTTATGAAATATTACTTACAAAAGATTTACAAAATAATAAAATTAAAAATGATGTTAATAAAGTGTTTTAAAATAAATAAAGATGGAGGGTTAATTTATAAAGCTTCATAACATTAATTAAAATATATAGATAAAGAAATAATAATATACTGCATTAATAAAACAAAGAAAATTATTGAAACTTTTTTTATAGTTAATTACTACTGTTGTTAACCATTACTAATGTTAACATGAACAAACTACAAATGTGATCAAAAATTTTTTAAAAAGAAATTCATCATGCAATTAACATACATAGATTATATACATTTTTGAATTATAAGTTGTAAATAATTAAACAATTGTCTAAATATTAACCAAATTTCGTAATATTTAAAATGTTTCATTAAAATAGTTGATTTAAAACTAATAATTCAAAAAATAAAGTGAATATAAAATATAAAAGAAAGTGAAAGTGCGAATTACTAATCAATAAGAACTTATAAGAGATTAACTGGTGACATTGGAGCCTTAAAAGTACATTTATAATGATTACAAGTATAATTAGCAAAAAAAATTAAAAAAAAAACAAATAAACAAGAAGCTACAAACAGCTGAAATAAAAACATACTTTTTATATGAATTTAATTAATTCTAATTCAAACATGTGGACATATTGGTTGAATAACATGGGTAACTTATAATATGAAGTATAATATAAAAAAAATATATATAAAAAAGTAAATTTAAATGTTGTAAGTTTATGATCATGAAATGCATAATAAAAAAGAAAGTTAATTAGAAAGGATATGTTAAAAGAGTTATATTTGTTTTAAACTCAGAATTTAAGGCACCAACACCAAACAGCTAAAACAATAAAATGTTAACCTTGTTTCTTCTCCTTTTTCCGAGGATGGAATCAAAATTTTGATGGGCACTTTATTTTTCCTCCTGTTAAGTTTAAATCGTAGTAAAAATTAATGTTTTAAATTTTTTTTATAAATTATGTTAATTTATAATATAAAGAGGTAATAAAATTGATTGTTTACTATTTGAAGTTATTTAAAAAAGTTAGAATTATAATGATTAATTTAGTTAAACATTAAATTTGCTCCAAGTTCTTTTGTGTAATTCACACTACAAAATGATCATGAACTTATGATTCTATACAATTAACATTTTAAAATACTTTAAAATTCTCTATTACGAAAAATATTTGAATAACTTAAATTACATGTAATGAAATAATGGTATTTTGTTTGTTTATTCATAATTATTATATTTTTTGCATTTAATTAATGATACTTAATGAATTTGTGTAAACAGTGGTTACTAAAAAATAATAACCTTAATCTTATACTTACCCTTTTTTTTTACCCTTAAATCGTTTCTTTGAAACATTAGTATTTTGGCATATTTTAACTTCATGTGGTAATTGTATTGATTCATCTGTATATTCTCCCATATTATCTTCAGCTATGCTGTGATGATCAGGACTTTCAATTGTTGGAGTTTGATCACTATCTAACATTCTGAATAAAAATTATTTCGTAATAAAAAAAAATAATAATTTGAAGATATTTTAGATTATAAATACAAGAATTATCATAATTAAATATTAATTATATTTTTTTAAATAGCTTTAAACATAAACCATTATTATCTTATTATTTTCACATACTCAGGAACTATGTAATCAGAATCCAAATCTGGATCAGAAGAATCTAGTTCATGAATTGCAGGTCCAATTGGAGATTGTTGAAGCTAACAGTAAAAATGAAAAGTTTATATTATAATTAATTTACAATAAATAATTTATATAAATAAAATTCTATTCCATACTTTTGAAATTTTACTCTGTCTTATACGTTGTCGACTTGAATCATCAATCATAAGAGGGTATCTTCTTTTCATTGATAAACCACTACTTCTATTTGGTTGTACTAAAGATACCAGAAAATGAATCAATTTATTTACTATTTGTTGTTGCTTATGATGTTTTTGTCTTAATAAAGCAAGCTCCCTCCAAAGGGCCTCATTTTCCCGTTTCATGGCGCCAAGTCTTGAATCAAAATGTTCTTGACGTCCTCTTATACTTCTTACTTCTGTTAACATCCTGTTCATTAGTTCTGGTTTAATTGGTGCTTGAGATGTATCTTGCGTTTTATTAGATGCAATCTAATAAAAAAAATTGGATAAAATAAGCATTATTAAATAACATTCTAATTTTATAATTTGAATAAATATTTATTCCTAATTAAAATTATTAAATTTGTTGTACCTTTCGTTTTATATGATCTAAAAGGTATGGATGATCTTTACAGAAATACTGATGAGCAAATTCCATTTCGTCTCTATCACATTTTAAACCACCAAGCTCTACTGAAACTTTTTTGTGAAAACCATCTATAAAGTTAATTAAAATATTAAGTTTATAAAAAAATTAATTCATTAATTAATAAATTTTTAAAAATAATTACACATGTTTAATTGACGCACAAAACTTGCCATATTATTGTGCTTGTAGTAATGTGGTAATAATTCTCGTGCAAACCGTGCTTGATTTCTGATAAAAAAACTTCTACCATTCTGTTGACAAAATATATTAAAAATAAAAATTTCAAAATATTTATCTACCTATACATGTAAAGTAAATCAATCATATTTTGAAATATATATTTTCATAAATTACAACTTATTTATTATATTAATTTTAAAATGTGTATATGAATAAATATTTATAACATTACGATTGTTTTATATCATGGATAATAATTAAAAAAATACATTTTTGTATAGTCTTAAAATAATTATAAATTATTCAAATTGATTGATATTATAGATTATTTTCTCACATTATAATTCTTAGTTCAATTTTAATAATTAAACTTTATGAAACTGTATATAAATACTTGAAAAATTGTCCTTAAAATATATTATAATAAACCACTATACAATAACTTTCAAAAGTTATTTATTATGTTTGATATCAGTTTAAATGTTAATTATTATAATAAAAATTTTCATTTCATAAATAGTTTCATTTAATGAATTTCATTTAACAAATTAGAACAAAATTTATGAAGTCACTTTTTTGCTTTTAGAAAAAATTTATTGAGAAGTTAGTAATAATTTATCTGTCTCTCATTAAACTTTCAAACCACAACTAATATATGACTTAAATGAAAAAAGAATAACTCATTTATCCTTAGAGGCGAATAATTTATTGATAAGTAAAATACATATGAAATATATTTTAGAAAATAATTTAGTTTAAAAAACGTTTCCCATACGTTTACTGATACCGGTACGACCATTACGTGTTCGCCTCGTGTACCGACTTGAACATTAAAGCTTAATAAGGTCAAAACAATTACAAGAACAATTGTTAAAAACATTAAGTGAATATTAATGTAATTTAATAAGAGCATTGAACTTTATTTAACCTTACAAGTGATAAAACATGAGGAACGTGATAACAATATCCCGCTAATATGACAAAAATATTTTTCATGGAACAAAACGCACGAACGATGATTTTAATAGTATTTGGTATTATGCATGCAAATAAAACGATTTCTTTGTATTTAAATTAATTTTGAATTGAATAAGTGGTAGTCTTAAAATAAAACTACAGTAAAGGCGACATAAAATGCACTAATGCAACCATACACGCACGGACGCACGCACGCACGCATGCATGCACGCACGTACGCACGCACGCACGCACAATATATATAAGCATAGCGTAGAATGAATAAAGGCAGGCAGTAGCAGCCGGCTGCAGACTACGACATGCCACCTTTGGGCTTTACTCTCTTAACGCCGGCTTGGCTGTGTTTACGACGAGCATGAAGTCCGAGCACCAAGGTTAGACTGCAAGCACGATAAATTCTTTGTCGTCTACTTACTGGCGACCAGCAGATAAGGTCATCGGTTTCTGGATCCTCGACCAACCTCCAAAGTTTGCCGAGAAAGGCGGGCACACTGGTGCCCATCTCCGAAATCGTGTGCATGGCTTCTATTCCAGTTTTTCGGATGCTCAATGCTCCTTACAACCTTTTTGTCCTTTTATTATCCAACGATTGAGAGCCGACACAATGGAAAACGTTTCAGTCTCACATTGCAATAGGTCAAGACTGCACAATTGTATATGTAGCCACTGGAGATCTTAATGCACAACAGCGACACACTCACAATAATGGCTGACCCACTGACCACTGCGTGAGCCGAATGACTTTAGTAAGCTAGTGCCAAGATACACAAGCCGAGGAGTAGCAGTGCTGACGATCTCGTCCAGTTCGTAGCGTGAAACCCTCCTTGTGTTGCAATGTAATTTTCCGATCAGCTGAAAAATATCATTTGCAAGCAAGTGAACAATGCTACCACACTACCGCAATTTAAGTTTAACACAACTTTTATGCGCGCGCACGCTTTTACGATCTTATTTTATTTTATACTACACGTTACACTTTTGGGGTCAAGGTTCAAACTTGATTTTTTGTCAGCTTTAACATTAAATAGTGTTATTTTTTTTATACACCTTGAGTTTGACTACACATCTGATTAACACATCTGCTTTAAAATCGAACATTTTTCTTCTATTGAGAATTCAGCTTATATATTTCAAATCAACGTCTGCTGTAAGAAACACGTGATTAAATATCTACCATGGCTGCTCAAATACAAGGATCTCAACATTCTCAACGTACATAATTAAAGAACGAAATGTATGGGATTTATTGTTATTTAAAAAATTGTACTCAATAAAATACACAATAAAATTTCATTTTACTTTAAAAATCGTATTTTAATAACCTTAATTATTTATAAAATGTTTGTTATTATTATTATTGTTATTTTATAATCAAAGAAATTATATATTTTGTAAACCATAACAGTAGCTAATTATAATATTATACTATTTATATTCTGTCAATTTACTAATCAATATGATATTAATTTTATATAGCATAAACATAATTCATTATTTTTTAATTTAACAGTAAATTTACTATAATTATATATATATATATATATATATATATATATATACGGATGTGTGTATGCATATGCACTCAATGATTTGTATAAAATGTTAAGTGCACATTTAATTGAATTTTTCGCTAAAATATATTGTACACACCATGCAAATATAAAAATTTATTTAAATTGAAAAATCATATGATACTTAACATAAAAATTATTTAAGGTAGCTATTTTCTTATAATCAATTTTACTTGAAAAGAAGTACATTTTTCTTTTGTTTATTATTAGTATTATTATGAAATCTAGCATTTATAAATTTACATGGCATTGTATATTGCGACTGCGCCGTGCGGCTACTTTTCTAACCTAATATAACTTGATAAACACTTCTTAAAATGTTTAATATAAAAAATAAATAATTGTATATTATAACTATTTCGTATAGATTTTGTAATGGTATGAACTATGTTATATTTTTGGAGATTATCGATAAAAGCAGTTTATACTGCTGCTTCAATTTCTTTAAATAACAATTCTAAAATTTTCACTCTTCAAACGCGTGTAAGTATTTATAATTGTATATATATATATATGTGTGTGTGCGTGTGTGTGTGCATTCGTACCACATATGCAAATGAATAATTAAAATTTATATTAAAATTTATATATTTTTAGGCTGTAAGAATTTTAAAAAGAAAATATCCTGTACGATTGTTTAAAAAAGATGATACCCATTTTGAACTACGAAGAAAAAATTTTTATTATGATTTAATTGAAGATACTGATTTAAGAAAGAAACCAAATATAGATTTAATTTTAACTAAAGATATTGAAAGTTATGGGAAAAAAGGGGATAAAATTAGTTTAAAGCGATTGAAAGCCTATAATGATTTTTTATTACCAGGATTAGCTGTGTATGCAACTCCAGAAAACATACAGAAGTATATGTCGATAGTAATTAGTACAGAACATCAGCATAGCTCAAAATATGCTATAGAACTATTAAAAGTATTAGAAAAATGTTGTTTAATAGTAAATATGAATATAGATAATCATTGGAAATTGGAAAAATGGCATATTAAAGTAAATTTTCGGACATGTGGTATATATGTAACTGAAAAATCAATAACAATGCCAAAAAAAGATATAATTGGTCCAAATTTGCAGAATGAAGGTAAAGAATTTTATATAAAAGTCACTATTAATGAAACTGAGGAAGTGAAGGTTCGATGTCGATTACATCATGTTACTACTGTACCGGAGCATCAACTTCCTGAAATATCAGAATTCTGGAAAATATCAAATGGAGCTTTATTCCCAGAAGATGAGAAAGTGCTTAATGCACTTCCACGACCTAAATGGGAAGATTATAATATTGAGAAACAAATGTATAATTGTTAATTGTTTTTAATAAATAAATTAAAATTAATTTTTTTATTTTGTAATATGATGTAGTAAATATAACATATTCAGCTTATCTTAAAAACATAATTTTTAGTAACCTTAACTAGTAAACCATGACATAATTAATAATTCAATTTAATACTAATCTCCTAACTTCAGCTTTTAAGTTAGTACATATCAATATATCAAAATGCAAAAATTATATTAATAGATTTAAAAATATTTTTGTAGTTATATTTTAATTAATTCTTAAAAATGGAGGATAAATACTTTATATGGGATGAAATAAATGAAGGGATCGTATTGTCACGGTATGTTCATAAAATGTAATTATAATTTTGAAATGAATCAAAGAATTATATATTTCATTTTATTTTTTTTCAGAGATACAAAAATTGAAGATGAAAAAAAGAAAAATAAAAAAGAAATGAAAATCCCTGAATCTAAAATCTACTGTCCACACAAGCATTTGAATTTCAATTTTAAAGAAACATTAAATTTTTGTGAACAGGTTAGATTAATTTCTTTTGATAATTTTTATTTTTTTCAAAAATAAATTTATATTCAAAAAAGAAATCTTAAAAAATATATATTGTTAAGCAATGTTTGTATCTTATCATAAAAATATAAAAAGGGTTCAGTGATTCAATATGTAATACAAATATATTATAAAAGTGTTTCGATACTAATTATATGTAACTAACTTCAGTGAATTTTATTTATTATATGTATTATGAGAAATTTAATAATTGATATCATTAAATGAAATCATATTGAAAAATACATCAAATTCATATTTTTTTTTTGGACATACATAATATTCTCAATGTGCGTTAGTGTCAAAAAATATTTTTTAAATTTAAGATAATAGAAATTTAAATACTTTGATTTACATTAAAACCTAAAATTTTTGTTTCATAGAAAAAATATATAATAGAATATATTTATAAGCATTTATTTAAATAATAGTTAAAATTAAAATAATAATATTTATTTATTATTAAAATCTTTGATATCTCTAAACTCAAGATTATTTATTGATCAAATTTATTTTTTTTTAAAAATAATTAAAATATCAAATATAATCATCAAACAAAAATAAAGTTTATCATCATGATGCCAAGAGAATATCTATATATTAATTAGTGAATGATAAGTTTTTCGATTTATAATAAACTTAGTTAATTATTATAATTTGATTCAATCACACAGACAAAAATTTTTAAATTGTATATAAGTAACTATATATATATATTCTTTTAAATATAATTAGTGTTAACATAAATAATAAAGAACCATTTCTTACGTTCAGATCAAGTTTCGCAAGTGCTACCAGCGCAGGACACCTCAGCGGCAAATGTTGAAAGACGTCGTTATTCTTCAAGACATTAAAGATCTTGTTATTTATATGATCAGCACCACAATAAGTACTGAATTCCTGGAATTCATTCATCTGATAATCGTCGACCGCTTCTTGCGGGCCCTTATTCTCTACATGCAGCATTACCTTACGACCTGGAACGAGTTGGAGTTAAAGCGTGAGGCAGCGAGAAAGCGCTTGACTAATCCACTTGCAGGCGGAATTCGGGTCGTTCGATCTCAGGAAATGAGAATCCTCAGGTGTTTAATCGCAAGAGAATACGCAGATTTGCTTGTCGCTTGCCAAAAGGAAGCGAAGAAGTACCATCATGTAGGATCAGGCAAAATCTCGTACACCAAATCAAAGGGCGAGAAAGATTTAAGGATATTTGAGGATTTAATTCAGTTTGCTCATAGAGTTGTCTGGATTGCCTTAGAACGTAAACAGAAAGACCTGATCGGTAGGTCTATTAAGGCGTACATGTCAATTATTTTTATACCGTTTTTTTTATTTACTTTGATACCTATAAATTTCATTAAATGTTTATTTAGAGCGATCTTTTCAAGCCTTATTTTTACGATTAGAATACTAATTGAAAAATATTCACTCTTTTTAAATTAGTTTTCAATTAATAATTAAATGAAAATTAAACTAAGTTCAAATGAATTCAAACTCTTTAAAGTTATCAGAAATCTAATTATTTTAATTATGAAATTATTATAAAAGTAGTTCTTATATTATTAACTAGAAATCATTAAATCTATGAAATAAAAATTTATTTATTTTTTACAAAAAGTCATGTTTTTAAATATTTAAGAATAAAAAATATAAGGCATAAGTTCTATTATAAGCACATATTTAGAATATAAAACTATTTCTTAGGATATCTATTGATTTATTAAATTAAACAGGAAAAAATAAGTAAAATCATAAAACTAAGAGGTTCACCCATATTGGTTAATATAATATTTTGTTGACACTATTTTATTAATAATATTTACATAATTTAAAATTATTGTTACAAGTATTAGAACACTTAAAATTTTTCAGTTTTTTTTTAATTTTAACTTATTGTAGATAAGCTTCAATATACAAATTATATTTCATTCATACATACATACATGTATAGATAAATTTTTATTGTATTTGAATGTCAATATAACAATGATTTATTTCATTCAGATGTATTTCTTTAAATATTATACAAATTTAACTGATTGCAAATATTTGATTTTAATTAAGTTTAAATATAAATGAATCATTGACAATTATTAATCTTCATAATTTTAAGTAAAAATATTCCTTATTAAATTAGAATTGGAAATACATCGGCTATTTAGAACTGAGTCATTTAACATAGCAGCAAGGAAATGTATAGTAAATGGTATCGATTGGCAAGTACCCGAGGATGAATATTGGATACTGTATGGAGGAAAAATGTTTAGTAAAAGAAAAATATTAAGAAATTCATCACTACCTTATGAACTTCTTAATATTGACTGTGATTATCGTATTTTACGTATTGGTAATAATTCAAATAATTATGATATTAGAAGTTGTTTTTTGTAAGGATTTCAATTATTCAACTAAATCATGAGTTTATTTTAAAATTTATAAAAGAAATATTATACAAATAAAGTAAGCTCACAAAATAATATTGGAATTTTTAAAAAAATATTTTTTTCTATTATTGAATATTGATTTTTTACCCATATATATTTTGTTTTCCTTCTTTATTCATTATTTCAAATTTTCTATTTATTATTTTATTAAACTTTTTATAATATAATTAATATTTTTATTGTAAGGATTAACAAATGTAAAGTCTCCAGATCCTCGAATTATATACTTTGAAAATGCTCTTCTTGCAAATGAAGAAAATTTATCTCGATTAGGAGTTAAAATAGGAATTTTGGGTTTACCTCGAATGGACTTTGATTTAATGTTAATTCCTTTGATAAATGAAGATAAGCAAGTAGCAATTGAAGAAACTCCTATTGAAGAAGATGAGGTGAGAATTTTAATTGTAATAGTATATACAAATTTATATATTTTCGATATTTTAAAGTCAACTTATACTTCTTGTCTATATGATCTCATTTACGGTATAATCGATAACATATAAATGAAGTCACCGTTTTTAATATTCTTATTTTATAATAAATAAATGTTTTTCGTTATTCTTAAAAAAATTCATTTCAAATAAAATTCATATATATTCAGATTAAATTAATAATTTTTCATTTCTATAAATCATAGTATTCAAAAACTTAAAAAAAATTCTTTGTAAATGTCTTCTATTGCTTTAAGTAATTATTAATATACCTTAATAATGTTTATTTCATAAAAAATATTTTTATGTAAATGTTTCTCTAAAATAAATATTATAAATGTTTAAAATTTCAAAAAAAAATTCAAAAAAAGAAATGAATTTTTTTTTAATTGGTATTTACACTAAATATATTGACATTTATTATTTAGCTGGATTTTTTTACATTTTTTAATTATATTTTTTATCATTCAAATTTCTAAAAAGTAACAAAGTAACTAAAGTAACAATATTATTCATCATTAATAATAAATTTTGTTAATAAAGGAAGTTGACGAATATGTAAGTTTAATACCTGTCTATGGCTCAGATTTGGAGTTAACCATATCATTTCCCATGGACAAAATTATTCCGCGATATGTGGGAAATGAAAAAATTCGTAAAGATAGCAAAAAGAAATGGATATTACGGGAAATGAAACGCGTTTCTTCGGATTATACAGTAATAAAATCAACATCCGCAATATGAAAGAGTAATGTAAATCCGTAAATTAATATAAAAATTGTGATATACAATAGCGTTGAGCAAATCAAATTACATATTTATCCCAGAAACTATTACAATTTATTAGCATCGCGAATATATTTCGTGCATTCACTCTGTCATAAATATTTGTATATGTATTTATTCCTCTTTTTGAGTAAGTAACAACGATAAATACTTATAAAAAGAAAAAATTATAAACGTATAAACAATTTACAATTAAACATTGGTTTTATATGCTTCACTATTTTAAGAAATAATTTAAATAAATAAAAAAAAACAAAGAAAATACTGACGTAACAAGTGGAACTGATTTCAAGTATTATGTGTCAACATATATGTCATTCTTCTTATAGAAAAATATGAACATATTTTGTTTTGTATGAAGGACTAATACAAAAATAAGCACTAAACAAGCAATGTAAAAATATGCTTATTATGTAATTGGTACATACTAATAAGAAAAGTGATGATAAATATATTACAAGGGCATTACACATTAAAAAGAATATTTTTAATTAGCGGAAAAATCTCGTTACTTTTCCACCGCCAAGTTTCTAACACTATTTATAATAAATCACTTATATACTTTATTTCCTTTTTTACGAAATTATAATAATCTACCAATAATTAAAACGAATTCGTAGCGTAACTAAATATACCCCAATATGGGGAACTTTATCTATTAATTTTATACTTGTTTTTTTTTTCTTTTTAATCAATGTATTTCTTTTCATAGTGCTTAATTAATTTTATTTCGTCGCTTCGCCGCTGTAAACATTTTCAAAAGATTTTTCGATTTCTTTGGTCAGTCTAAAATTAATTTTTGTAAAGTTAGTTTTAAATGAAATTTTTAAAAATCAAGTTTAAAAATTGTTTCGTAATATAACATATTATAAATAAAACACATTTGAAAATTAAACTGACCAATTATTACTTAATTATGTAAATATATTATAATAATAATACATTTTTACATTAACATCATATATAAAACGGATGAAAATAAATTTGATAAAATATTTGAATGTATTATTAATAATGAAAATAAAATAATCATTATTTTTATGAGAAGAAATTCGTGTATAATTACAAATAAATTGTAATTATAAAAAATATTTTTCAGCTTTGATAAATTAATGTTTCTTCATCGAATCGTCTAACTTTATTTTTTAGATAAAGAGTTCGAAATAATTAATTTGTTGTCATTGCTATTAAATAAAAAATATGAAAATAGGTTGTTCTAATGAAATTCGATATCGTCTTTCTTTTAAATCGTAATTCGTTTTATTAGAACAAAAATTGAAGGTGCTTTACGTCTTTATTTTGGATTTCTTTGAAAATCGCTTATTGGACAAAGTTCCATCTATTAGGTCTACTACTTTATACCTCCACAAGTGCCTGATAAATACAAATAAAAGAACAAAAAATTAATGAACCATTAAGATTATGCAGTATTTTACACGAAGTTATAGTTTTAATTCATAATTTTATACTATATAAATTTCATTTATTAATCTCTTTGAAGGAGACACAATATAATCAACTCATAATCTATTTAAACATCTACGAATATATGAATGAAAACTATATATACATGCATATATATGTATATGTTAATATATCAGTGCTTAATTATGCTTTTGGATCCTTTGCTTCTATAATATTTTTTATTATTTAAAACCAATGGATTTGCTTTTGCCGTCATCAATCACTTTCTACTTTTTCATTTTTTGTTCATTGAAATTTTAACATTTGTTTAGAATAACTACACATGAATACTAAATAACGTGTATACGATAATTTGTACACGCTTACAATAGCTATTAGTGACTGGCCTATGCCTTAATTATTATTTTAACTTTCTATTTTTTTAAAAATGCATACAATTTCACTATTCCAAAATCTTGCATCCTCATTTACGATACAAAACGTATTTTTGTGCACACAATTTTTTACCTAACAGCTAGAAAAAAAGAATTCGTCCCACCTGGTCTACATAATGTTGAATAATCGAAACTATTGTTCTTAAATTTATAGAAGTTTCTGTATCTAAAATGCTCAATCAATTATTATTATAAAAATTACATATAGTACAGAATAAAATTCTCGGTAATTATAGACAGAAGAATTTTCTGCTGGTATATGTATTCATTTTTTTTTGTATTTCTGATATTCCCATTTTCGTACTAATTTCCTTCCAAATTAGAGACCAGCCCAACAGAAGAGATATTACGTCTTCTCGTTTACTATATTTACAATCTTTATATGTATATGTAAAAAAAAAGAAATTATTTGAAAACCACTTTGACTATGCAATGATCATTAATAGTGAAGCATGCAATAACGTCAGACTAATGCGTAACTTTATCATTCCTTTAAAAAAAGGAATAAAATTAAAAGATGTCTTAACACTATTGTACAAAAGACACAACATTGTTGCCTTAGACGCTTTTCAAAAATTAAGGAACACGTGTTATGTTTCATTTCGAAATTTGATGAGGCAGTGGGGGCTACGAAGCCATATCAGACATAAGTTGGGCGAGTAAAGCTGGCTCCAGAAGTCCGTGTGTTTGACCCATACGTTCGAGATTTCTTACATCCTTATCGAAAGCTTCAACCGCCCGTTCCAGTTCTTCTTCCTCTTCACGCG